TTTGGGGCAAAAAATTTTCAGCCCCAAATTTTTTAGTCCTGGCGCTTTTTGGAAATTATTGACTAACTGGTAGCACAAGACCTCCTTTTTATAAATTGTTAACTTAGACGGGAGAAAAACGCACAAGACCTACTTTTTATAAATTGTTCGCATAGACGAGAGAAAGTAGCACATGACCACCTTTTTGTAAATTGTTCACATAGACGAGAGAATGACTCTTTAGTACTAGAATTTGAAAAAATATAGAGTTTGCTTGCTATATATTCAGAGGACTGGGGCAAATGCATCAGTTAGTCGATAATTTCAAAAAAGCGTCTGGACTAAAAAATTTGGGGCAAAAAATTTTCAGCCGTCCAATTCTTTCTGTTCTCACATACCCCGCCCCAAGTTGAAGATATCAATATGAGATTTGCACCACTTGATCATCTTAGTTCCAAGGCAAGTCTCCTAAATTTTTATCAAAAAATTTTCAAAATTGCGGGTTTTATGGGACATTTTGAAAAAATAAAAAAACGCAATTATCTCGGCTTCTAGTGGTCGTAGAACAATTTTCCGGATATGGTGGAGCTCGTCTCAGCAAGTTCTACAACTTTTCTATAAAAAGCAAAATTGTCGGTCAAAGGTCAAGGTCAATTTTTTTGAGCGTAAATTTTCAAACTCAAAATTGAAAACCAGCCGACCATTTTAAATTAATTTTGAGATAGCCAAACGATTCCTCGTGAAATTTTACGTAATATATGTCAAAACTGCGATGAGGTTATTTTTTGTTAAATTTAAAAATAAATAAGAATATTAAAAAACATGGTTTTTTGCAACTCGGAAGGCAGGGTCAACATTATAATCGCTTTTAACTTCGTCCCTGATGATTTTAGGTAAAAATAGATAATGACCAAAGTTAATCCCCACGTCAAGAACAATCGAATGATGTATGGGTCAATGACCTTTGGTGACCTTCAGGCCAAAGGTCACCCAGTTCGGTGACCTGAGGTCACCTGACCTAGATTTATGATATGTTTTTGAAAAGGTCCTGTTGAGAAGATAATTTTGGTTACCACTTTTTGGTCTGTACCTGTACTACAAACCAAATGATTGTACTTTTGTTTAATTAAATGCACAATTATGTGAGCAGTGAATTCGAAAAGTACAATTATTCGGCTTGTAGGCGAGGTAAAGACCAAATTATGGTAACCAAAATTATTTTCTTAACAAGACCTTTTCAAAAACATATCATACATCTAGGTCAGGTGACCTCAGGTCACCGACCTGGGTGACCTTTGACCTGAAGGTCATTAAAGGTCAATGACATATACATCATTCGATTGGTCTTGACGTGGGGATCAACTTTGGTCATTATCACCTTTTACCTAAAATCATCAGGGATGTAGATAAAAGCGATTATAATGTTGACCCTGCCTTCCGAGTTGCAAAAAACCATGTTTTTTAATATTCTTATTTATTTTTAAATTTAACAAAAAATAACCTCATCGCAGTTTTGACATATATTACGTAAAATTTCACGAGGAATCGTTTGGTTATCTCAAAATTAATTTAAAATGGTCGGCTGGTTTTCAATTTTGAGTTTGAAAATTTGAAGGTCACTAAAGGTCATTGACCTATACATCATTCGATTGGTCTTGACGTGGGGATCAACTTTGGTCATTATCAATATTTACCTAAAATCATCAGGGACGAAGTTAAATGCGATTATAATGTGGACCCTGCCTTCGTAGTCGCAAAAAACCATGTTTTTTAATATTCGTATTTATTTTTAAATTTAACAAAAAATAACCTCATCGCAGTTTTGACATATATTACGTAAAATTTCACGAGGAATCGTTTGGCTATCTCAAAATTAATTTAAAATGGTCGGCTGGTTTTCAATTTTGAGTTTGAAAATTTGAAGGTCACTAAAGGTCATTGACCTATACATCATTCGATTGGTCTTGACGTGGGGATCAACTTTGGTCATTATCAATATTTACCTAAAATCATCAGGGACGAAGTTAAATGCGATTATAATGTGGACCCTGCCTTCGTAGTCGCAAAAAACCATGTTTTTTAATATTCGTATTTATTTTTAAATTTAACAAAAAATAACCTCATCGCAGTTTTGACATATATTACGTAAAATTTCACGAGGAATCGTTTGGCTATCTCAAAATTAATTTAAAATGGTCGGCTGGTTTTCAATTTTGAGTTTGAAAATTTACGCTCAAAAAAATTGACCTTGACCTTTGACCTACAATTTTGCTTTTTATAGAAAAGTTGTAGAACTTGCTGAGACGAGCTCAACCATATCCGGAAAATTGTTCTACGACCACTAGAAGCCGAGATAATTGCGTTTTTTTATTTTTTCAAAATGTCCCATAAAACCCGCAATTTTGAAAATTTTTTGATAAAAATTTAGGAAACTTGCCTTGGAACTAAGATGATCAAGTGGTGTAAATCTCATATTGATATCTTCAACTTGGGGCGGGGTATGTGAGAACAGAAAGAATTGGACAGCCCCAAATTTTTTAGTCCTGGCGCTTTTTTGAAATTATTGACTAACTGGTAGCACAAGACCTCCTTTTTATAAATTGTTAACTTAGACGGGAGAAAAACGCACAAGACCTACTTTTTATAAATTGTTCGCATAGACGAGAGAAAAACGCACAAGACCTCCTTTTTGTAAATTGTTCACATAGACGAGAGAATGACTCTTTAGTACTAGAATTTGAAAAAAATATAGAGTTTGCTTGCTATATATTCAGAGGACTGGGGCAAATGCATCAGTTAGTCGATAATTTCAAAAAAGCGTCAGGACTAAAAAATTTGGGGCAAAAAATTTTCAGCCCCAAATTTTTTAGTCCTGGCGCTTTTTTGAAATTATTGACTAACTGGTAGCACAAGACCTCCTTTTTATAAATTGTTAACTTAGACGGGAGAAAAACGCACAAGACCTACTTTTTATAAATTGTTCGCATAGACGAGAGAAAAACGCACAAGACCTCCTTTTTATAAATTGTTCACATAGACGTGAGAAAGTCACACAAGACCTCCTATCTATAAATTGTTAACTGAGACGAGAGAGAAACGCACAAGACCTCCTTTTTATAAATTGTTAACTTTGACGAGAGAAAAACGCACAAGACCTACTTTTTATAAATTGATAACTTAGACGGGAGAAAAACGCACAAGACCTACTTTTTATAAATTGTTCGCATAGACGAGAGAAAGTCACACAAGACCTCCTATCTATAAATTGTTAACTGAGACGAGAAAGAAACGCACAAGACCTCCTTTTTATAAATTGTTAACTTTGACGAGTGAAAAACGCACAAGACCTACTTTTTATAAATTGATAACTTAGACGGGAGAAAAACGCACAAGACCTACTTTTTATAAATTGTTCGCATAGACGAGAGAAAGTTGCACAAGACCTCCTTTTTATAAATTTTTAAATTAGACGAGAGAAAAACGCACAAGACCTCCTTTTTATAAATTGTTTACATAGACGTGAGAAAGTCACACAAGACCTCCTATCTATAAATTGTTAACTGAGACGAGAGAGAAACGCACAAGACTTCCTTTTTATAAATTGTTCTCGTAGACGAGAGAAAGTAGCGCAAGACCACCTTTTTATAAATTGTTCACATAGACGAGAGAGAAACGCACAAGACTTCCTTTTTATAAATTGTTCTCGTAGACGAGAGAAAGTAGCACAAGACCTCCTTTTTATCAATTTTTAAATTAGACGAGAGAAAAACGCACAAGACCTCCTTTTTATAAATTGTTCACATAGACGTGAGAAAGTCACACAAGACCTCCTATCCATAAATTGTTAACTGAGACGAGAGAGAAACGCACAAGACCTCCTTTTTATAAATTGTTCACATAGACGTGAGAAAGTCACACAAGACCTCCTATCTATAAATTGTTAACTGAGACGAGAGAGAAACGCACAAGACTTCCTTTTTTTTAAATTGTTCTCGTAGACGAGAGAAAGTAGCACAAGACCTCCTTTTTATAAATTGTTATCTTAGACGAGAGAAAAATGCATAATATATCCTTTTTAGAAAAAATGAAAAAGGCCTTGGTTTAATTAGATTACCTAATTCATCAGCGACTGAAGGATTATTAACAGGCTAAGACCATTTTTTAGAAAATATGAAGATAGTCCTAGGTTTAATTAGATTACCGAATTTATCAGCAACCAAAGGATTATTAACAGGCTCAGACCTTTTTTTAGAAAAAATTAAAATATTCCTTGGTTTAATTAGATTACCTAATTCATCAGCGACTAAAGGATTATTAACGGGCTAAGACCTGGGTTCGGAAATAGTCAATTTTTAATGAGTTTTCAATGAAAGTCGTGAATTTAAAAAAAAAATTAATCAATCCTTCTCACGCAGCGTGATGAATATCTCACGCCGCGTGACCTGGGTCTTTATTTAGGAAATAATTTAATAAATATGATAACCTCCTTCTATAGATTGCCCCGATTATGTTAATTTTTTTCCTAAAATGTTGTTAAATAATAATATTGAATTAATTAAAAATTTTTAATTCAATTTTCTTATTATTTATAATTGGATTCTATTTTTATTTAACTTTTATTTTATTTTAATTCAATTTTAATTGAACTTTAATTCAATTTATCCTCCTTTGAGCTAACGTTTCTTACTGCAATTTTCAGGATTCAGATTGAAATTAGATTTATAAATCTAAACCACTATCAAACTCGAAATATTATTTTATTCCTCGATAGAGGATTTTTTTAAGAGCTGGGTTGTTGACACTCCCCTGTTGGCCGGTCCTCGATTGGCCAATCTCGCATCTTTAAATTTAACATAAAAATATGCTAAATTTTTGTTTTGTAAATTTTACGACCGGCGGTAAAATAACGAGTTGGTAAGGTCTGGTTTTTCCGGTGGGCTCGTCGTTACGTTAAGTGTCGCCGCTTCTTCTTTAATACATTATTCGCCGCTCTTGACCTTTGCCGGTGTCGTCAGGGTCAGGTGGCGGTGACGGACCTGACGCAAGACCTGCAGATGATCGCAGGCGACTCGTGCATCAGTGCGTTCCAGAAGTCAGCAGCATGAAGGTGTCGGCCAGGGTGCGCGGAGAGTGGCTCCAGATCCCTTGCAAGGATGGTCAGTACCTCAACAAATTTAAAATTGAGCCAAAAATCTCACCCAGTTCGTTTGTTTGCCTGTAGTTTTGTTTTAAATGTTTAAAATTGGGGGCAAAATTGGTTAGATTTAAAATATGAAATGTTTGGTTTTATGGTTTTTAACATTCGCAAACAATCAATTTATGTATTTGGCAAAATAAAATATTTGTGAACTATTTTGGAATCCTCCTATTTAATTGTTATTATTAGAAATATATTTAAGTTAGTTGCATTTTTTAAATAAGTTTTCCATATGTATGAAAAAATAAACAACCATTTTTTTGTCCGATTTTTACTATTTTAATTATCATTTTTATCCAAAATTATTATTATTGAGCTCTTTTTTATTTTATTGCGTTACAAACAATAATAATAATAATAATAATGTAGAAGAAATCGAGTTTCATAAAGACAAATTGTTAATTTTACTTGCTTATTTTTCAGTGAAATGTTTTTTTCATGCTCAAAAAATTTTTAAAATATTTCTTTATATTTGCATGATATCATATCCTGATAAATAATGGCCTTCATATTTGTTAAAGTAACTTGTTTTTCTTTCCCAGGTCGGGGAAGATTTACGGTGACGTAAAATTACATTCATATTCCCTCTCGTAAAAAGCAGGTTTTCATTTCGCAGAGTGCGCATTATTTGCTTTATGGTTGTTTATCTCTTTAGAAATTGCGTTTTTCAACCTGCGCTTGGCCTTTTGACACTGGCAACCGGTCTAGCTCGTCTAACGATTAGAAATTAAGTGTAATAAAACGAGCGAATAATGTAGAAATTTGGTTGTTTTCGTCCGGACAGGTAAAGTGAGCATCAGTTGGCTCGGAGGAGAGGCCATCAGACGCTTCCAGAAGCTGCAGGGGCCAAACTCGAATCTGAAAGTTGGCGAGGAGCAAATCCAGGAGGTGCGCAAAACCAAAGGTGGCGCCATCTTGGACCCTGACGACCTCGTCAAGGACGTGCTTGACGACAACGATTTCGTCTCCATCAGTATGAAAATTTTGAATTTTAATATCACTCTCAGGTTAAATCTTCAAATATAAAAATGATGCGTATTTACTAAATTTGGAGAGTTAGAAATTTAAATTTATTCCTCAAGAGGTTACATAAAAGCAAAAGAATAACAAGTTTTAAAACATTGAAAATTACAAAGTACACTGTACATTTTAGTTTTTTGGTTTAATTTCCATGAGTGTAAAAAACTTTTCTTATTCTAATATATTTTTTGAGCTACACAACAACAAAATACTGATCTTTACTTACAATAATTATGATCAATTGTGGTTGATTTTCAATTTTAATGTAAATTTCAATTTCAAATCCTCTAAAGACTGAGAAGATCTTCTGGAACAACCAAAGTTTTGGGACAAAATCACATATTTTGGTTTGATAAAACTTAATTTATCTGTAATTTTCAGTTTTGTCATCCGACAGGACGACCCAAGTCACGGATAATTCCGAATTGGCCAAGAATTTGGAGGAGTACAATTCTCTGTGAGACTATTTAATTTATTAATTGCAATTAGTATTAAATTTTTACTTCACATTATTTTGCAGGAATGGGAAATACGAACCACCTGAAGAGGTATTTTAAAACGTTTTACTTTGTACCTGACTTAATAATTAGACTTTTTTAAATTTTCTGCAGTATCTGTTCCTGGACGGAAACAGCCTGTCCACCGACGACTTGGTCCAACTTGGGAAATGTCGCTACAAAATCAAACTCACAAACGAATCAGAGCAGAATGTTACCAAGTCTCGCAACCTGATCGAGAAAATCCTTCAAGAGAACAAAGGTGAGGTTCTTTAAAAGTTTTAATTAAAAAAATAGTCAAATTAAAATTTCAGTTGTTTACGGAATCACCACCGGCTTTGGAAATTTCGCTCGGACCACTATATCCGTGGACAAACTTGAGTAAAGCCTTTCCTTTATAAAAATGATGGTTTTAATAAAAAAAATTATTTCAGGGAGTTGCAGTACAACCTGATCAGGTCGCACTCGGCCGGGGTAGGACGACCTTTGTCCTCGGAGAAGACAAGAATGCTTTTGGCGCTGAGGATCAACGTCCTGGCCAAAGGGTACAGCGGAATTTCGCTGCCCACCCTGAAGCACATCATCGAAGCGTTCAACGGTATTTTTTTTTTTTTTTAAACTGAAAAGTTCATAATTATTTTTAAAAATATTTTAGCTTCCTGTTTGTCGTATGTTCCGGAGCAAGGGTCTGTGGGTGCGAGTGGGGACTTGGCACCCCTGGCCCACTTGGCCCTCGGATTAATTGGCGAGGGCAAAATGTGGAGCCCTGAAACCGGCTGGGGTGATGCCAAAAATGTGAGAAAATATTTACAAAAAATATTTTTTAATCTTCTTCAAATTAATAAATTTGCGATATTAGAAATATTTTACAAATCAATTGATAACCCTGACTGGTGAGTTAAGAAATAAATTTAATTCAAGCAAAGATGGCTGCTCTTGGAAACGTTTCGCGAGTCAATAAATCCACCAATTTTCGTCCAAAAGCAATTTAATTCAAACCAATGAAATTTTCTTCCAAAGTTCTATTATAATATCTCAAGTTCTTAATTTCAATTTTTTAAAGCTGACACCCCCTTTAAGAATTCAAATTTTTAAATTGAATTTAAATAAAAAAAAAAAATAACCAAATTTTCAGTTTATTAAATTTGTGAGCTCCAATGAAATTTACTAAATTATTTCATACAACTTTTGAAGAATATTTGAGTAATTTGAGAAGAAAAAACAAAGAAATTTTCCCTACCTTTTCTGTCCAGGTTCTCGAGGCTCACGGGTTGACTCCGATCCGGCTGTCGGCGAAGGAAGGCATCGCCCTGATCAACGGGACGCAGCTGATCACGTCCCTGGGCGCCGAGGCCGTCGAACGCTCCTCCCTGATCGCCCGGCAGGCCGACGTGGTCGCCGCCCTGACCCTGGAGGTCCTCAAGGGCACGTCCAGGGCCTTCGACTCGGACGTGCAGATGATCCGGCCGCACAAGGGCCAGATCGCCGTGGCCAAGAGGCTCAGGGCACTTCTGCACTCGGAGACGTACCCTTCGCAGATCGCAGGTACACAATTTCAAAACAAAATAGGTCCGAGAGACAAACACACTGAATCAGGAATCAACACATCGATGATTGTTGACGTTTACTTTGACGTTCCAGATGAGAAAAGGGGGAAAAAGCGCGCGAAATGTTCTCCCTACCCCCTCCCCTCCTCTCCCCTGTCATTTCCCGCATTGTATTTAATTCAATTTTTTAATTCACTCTTTTTACCGGTGCTGATTTCAGAAAGCCACCGTTTCTGCAACAGGGTTCAGGACGCGTACACCCTGAGGTGTTGTCCTCAAGTTCACGGAATTTCGCACGACACTATCGAGTTCGTCCAATCCGTCATCACCACCGAAATGAACAGCGCCACCGATAATCCGGTAGTGAATAAAACCTGTATAGAACTTTCTGAAATTAACTCAGTTTTGAATTAAAAACAAAATGGATTTGGAAGGAACAAATTAGAAAATTATTTTCCACAAAAATCTTGTTATAATTTCTATTTTTATTAAAAACCAGTTTGAAAATTTCTTATACTTTCACTGTTTCATTTTTATTTTCAGTTTCATCTTTTAATATTATAGTTTTTGGTAAAATTTATCCATTAAAAAGCACTGCAAATTTAGATTCCCCTGTAGTTTTTCTTTTAAATAATTTTATTAGTGGATTTACATGAAACATGTTCAAAACATTGTTTTTTTGCTATAAATTGATTTTAATTTCCTCTCTCGTTCTTCTTTAAGATCGTCTTCGCGAATCGAGGTGAAATTATTTCCGCCGGAAACTTCCACGGCGAATATCCGGCGAAGGTTCTCGACTACTTAGCAATTGGCGTCCACGAACTGGCCTCGATGAGTGAGCGGAGGATTGAGCGACTCGTCAATCCAGGTTTTATTTTTATATTAAAAAAAATAAATATAATAAATCATTTTCTCATCAAGCACTGAGTGAGCTTCCGGCGTTTTTGGTCAAGGACGGGGGACTGAATTCTGGATTCATGCTTGCACATTGCACGGCAGCATCTCTGGGTAAATGAATATTAAAAAAATAATAAAAAATCACAAAATTTTGATTAATAATAAATAAAAATAATATTATCAAAAATTCCAATTTATTAAATTATTGTCAAAAAATTAATTAATTGCATTTTTTATAGCACGATTGTGATGTCAAAAGTATTTGATTTTGCCTTTGTTTTCATGATAGAAAATCACCTGTTTTGAGAAGTAAAATACGATATCCTGTATTTAGCAAAGCGTAGACAAAATATTAAATTTCTTCCTTGTTTTTTGCACAGTTTCTGAAAACAAAGTGCTTTGCCACCCATCATCTGTGGACTCATTGAGCACAAGTGCTGGCACTGAAGATCACGTTTCCATGGGCTGTTTTGCTGCCAGAAAGTCTCTCTCTGTAAAACTTTAAATTTAAGTAAAAATTATAAATTAAACGGAAAATGTTCAGGTAGTGGAAAATGTGGAGCACGTGATTGCGATTGAACTTCTTGCTGCCTGCCAGGCCATTGAATTTCTGCGTCCGTTGAAGACGACCGTCCCCTTGGAGGAGGTTTACAAACTCGTCCGTTCCGTCGCTAGGTTTTAAATTATTTTTTTATTAATTAAATTGTATTTAAATTGAATTTTTAGACCCTGGGATAAGGACCGCTTCATGGCGCCGGACATCGAAGCAGTCACCGATCTGCTGAAGAGCGGAAAAATTTGGTCTGTGGTTCGACACCACGTTGATTTCTATCACGCGCCTCAGGTAAATTTAAAAATTAAATAAATTTAAGATTGCGAAATTTAATTTTTTTTTTCTTTTTTTTTAACCAAAGGAAATTGAGACACGTGTATTCAGTCCAACTGCAGTGATGGTTGGAGGGCTGCAGAGAGAAAAGGCCAGGGTGAGAGCAGGCTCTGCCAAAAAAAGGAAGGCCAACGACAACGGCCAATGAAAATTTTAAATGGAAATATGGTTTTAATTAAGGACCCTTTCACAAGAATTAATGATTATGTTCGTCGAAATATTGCTGTCAAATTTCTCATATATTATGTTCGATTCACTGTTTGGTGGTGGAATGATTTATCATTGATTGCAGTTTTAATAAAAATTTTAAACAAAATATCATAATTTAAAAGCTCTCTGATTAATTTATCAGTAATTAAATTTGTCTCTATGAATATGTCTAAACAAAATCAAAATTCTATTCTCATTAGCTAATTCTAATTGGATTTTTGACAAAAATTAACCATACTGATTTTGCTTCATTTGACTTGCTCCACCTTGCCGTCAAATTTATCTATTTTTTTTTATCGTGCAGCCTTATATTTTCATCTCTAGTAAATAATTGAAAATAACAAACATTCTAAAAAAGCTCCACACTAATGTAGCAATAAATTTACTTGCAAATTCATTTACATAAAAAAAATGTATAATTAGAAATGGTTTTTTATAACTTTATGCGTGTATAAACTAAATCGGTTGCAGTTAATGAGACCGCAGACGATACCATCTTTAAAAAAAAAATGCAAAAAATAAAGAAGCCACTTTAAATCTATCATCCAAAATTTATGTGGCGCAAAAATGATAGACGAAACACGTGAAAATTAACAAGAAAAATTCCTGCATATTGAATCTAAAATGAAGGAGTTCAGATGATAAATTTATATGGCCAGATCAAATTTTTCGTCGCGAGTTTGCGGACGTTGGGTAATTGCTACAATTAATTAAAACACAGTAAACTGCGTTATTAAACTCAAAAAAACTTTTTAGTTGAAACGAAAATAAAGGATTTTGACAAGATTTAAATATCACGTAATAGACGATTGCGTTTCTAATCGTCTGTTTTAAAAATTCATTGGCCAGCTTAAATTTTCCGTCGCGAGTTTGGAGGTTGAAATTAGTAGCATTAATTATTTAATGTATACTAAACTGCTTTATTAAATAAAGGAAATCTTGATAGTTGAAATTAAAATAAAGGATTTTTACAAGATTTAAATATCACTAAATAGACGATTGCGTTTCTAATCGTCTTTTTTTTAAAATTCATCGGCCAGTTCAAAAATTTCGTCGCGAGTTTGCGGACGTTGGATAATTGCTACATTTAATTAAAGCACAGTAAACTGCGTTATTAAACACACAAAAACTTGTTAGTTGAAACGAAAATAAAGGATTTTGACAAGATTTAAATATCACTTAATAGACGATTGCGTTTCTAATTGTCTGTTTTAAAAATTCATCGGCCAGTTCAAAAATTTCGTCGCGAGTTTGCGGACGTTTGGGAAATTGCTACAATTAATTAAAGCACAATAAACTGCGTTATTAAATACAAAAAATATTGTTAGTTGAAACAAAAAATAAGTTTTTTGACAAGAATTAAATATCACTTAATAGACGATTGCGTTTCTAATCGTCTTTTTTTTAAAATTCATCGGCCAGTTCAAAAATTTCGTCGCGAGTTTGCGGACGTTGGATAATTGCTACATTTAATTAAAGCACAGTAAACTGCGTTATTAAACACACAAAAACTTGTTAGTTGAAACGAAAATAAAGGATTTTGACAAGATTTAAATATCACTTAATAGACGATTGCGTTTCTAATTGTCTGTTTTAAAAATTCATCGGCCAGTTCAAAAATTTCGTCGCGAGTTTGCGGACGTTGGATAATTGCTACAATTAATTAAAGCACAGTAAACTGCGTTATTAAACTCAAAAAAACTTGTTAGTTGAAACGAAAATAAAGGATTTTTACAAGATTTAAATATCACTAAATAGACGATTGCGTTTCTAATCGTCTTTTTTTTAAAATTCATCGGCCAGTTCAAAAATTTCGTCGCGAGTTTGCGGACGTTGGATAATTGCTACATTTAATTAAAGCACAGTAAACTGCGTTATTAAACACACAAAAACTTGTTAGTTGAAACGAAAATAAAGGATTTTGACAAGATTTAAATATCACTTAATAGACGATTGCGTTTCTAATTGTCTGTTTTAAAAATTCATCGGCCAGTTCAAAAATTTCGTCGCGAGTTTGCGGACGTTGGATAATTGCTACAATTAATTAAAGCACAGTAAACTGCGTTATTAAACTCAAAAAAACTTGTTAGTTGAAACGAAAATAAAGGATTTTGACAAGATTTAAATATCACTTAATAGACGATTGCGTTTCTAATCGTCTGTTTTAAAAATTCATCGGCCAGTTCAAAAATTTCGTCGCGAGTTTGCGGACGTTGGGTAATTGCTACAATTAATTAAAGCACAGTAAACTGCGTTATTAAACTCAAAAAGACTTGTTAGTTGTAACGAAAATAAAGGATTTTGACCAGATTTAAATATCACTTAATAGACGATTGCGTTTCTAATCGTCTTTATTAAAAATTCATTGGCCAGTTCAAAAGTTTCGTCGCGAGTTTGCGGACGTTGGATAATTGCTACAATTAATTAAAGCACAGTAAACTGCGTTATTAAACTCAAAAAAACTTGTTAGTTGAAACGAAAATAAAGGATTTTGACAAGATTTAAATATCACTTAATAGACGATTGCGTTTCTAATCGTCTGTTTTAAAAATTCATCGGCCAGTTCAAAAATTTCGTCGCGAGTTTGCGGACGTTTGGGAAATTGCTACAATTAATTAAAGCACAATAAACTGCGTTATTAAATACAAAAAATATTGTTAGTTGAAACAAAAAATAAGTTTTTTGACAAGAATTAAATATCACTTAATAGACGATAGCGTTCCTAATTGTCTGTTTCAAAAATTCATCGGCCAGTTCAAAAATTTCGTCACGAGTTTGCGGACGTTGGATAAATGCTACAATTAATTAGAGCACAGTAAACTGCGTTATTAAACACACAAAAACTTGTTAGTTGAAACGAAAATAAAGGATTTTGACAAGATTTAAATATCACTTAATAGACGATTGCGTTTCTAATTGTCTGTTTTAAAAATTCATCGGCCAGTTCAAACATTTCGTCGCGAGTTTGCGGACGTTGGGTAATTGCTACAATTAATTAAAGCACAGTAAACTGCGTTATTAAACTCAAAAAAACTTGTTAGTTGAAACGAAAATAAAGGATTTTGACAAGATTTAAATATCACTTAATAGACGATTGCGTTTCTAATCGTCTGTTTTAAAAATTCATCGGCCAGTTCAAAAATTTCGTCGCGAGTTTGCGGACGTTGGATAATTGCTACAATTAATTAAAGCACAGTAAACTGCGTTATTAAACTCAAAAAAACTTGTTAGTTGAAACGAAAATAAAGGATTTTGACAAGATTTAAATATCACTTAATAGACGATTGCGTTTCTAATCGTCTGTTTTAAAAATTCATCGGCCAGTTCAAAAATTTCGTCGCGAGTTTGCGGACGTTGGGTAATTGCTACAATTAATTAAAGCACAGTAAACTGCGTTATTAAACTCAAAAAGACTTGTTAGTTGTAACGAAAATAAAGGATTTTGACCAGATTTAAATATCACTTAATAGACGATTGCGTTTCTAATCGTCTTTATTAAAAATTCATTGGCCAGTTCAAAAGTTTCGTCGCGAGTTTGCGGACGTTGGATAATTGCTACAATTAATTAAAGCACAGTAAACTGCGTTATTAAACTCAAAAAAACTTGTTAGTTGAAACGAAAATAAAGGATTTTGACAAGATTTAAATATCACTTAATAGACGATTGCGTTTCTAATTGTCTGTTTTAAAAATTCACCGGCCAGTTCAAAAATTTCGTCGCGAGTTTGCGGACGTTGGATAATTGCTACAATTAATTAGAGCACAGTAAACTGCGTTATTAAACACACAAAAACTTGTTAGTTGAAACGAAAATAAAGGATTTTGACAAGATTTAAATATCACTTAATAGACGATTGCGTTTCTAATCGTCTGTTTTAAAAATTCATTGGCCAGCTTAAATTTTCCGTCGCGAGTTTGGAGGTTGAAATTAGTAGCATTAATTATTTAATGTATACTAAACTGCTTTATTAAATAAAGGAAATCTTGATAGTTGAAACTAAAATAAAGGATTTTTACAAGATTTAAATATCACTAAATAGACGATTGCGTTTCTAATCGTCTTTTTTTTAAAATTCATCGGCCAGTTCAAAAATTTCGTCGCGAGTTTGCGGACGTTGGATAAATTAAAGCACAGTAAACTGCGTTATTAAACTCAAAAAAACTTGTTAGTTGAAACGAAATTAAAGGATTTTGACAAGAATTAAATATCACTAAATAGACGATTGCGTTTCTAATCGTCTTTTTTAAAAATTCATCGGCCAGTTAAAAAATTTCGTCGCGAGTTTACAGACGTTGGGTAATTGCTACAATTAATTAAAGCACATTATACTGCGTTATTAAACACACAAAAACTTGTTAGTTGAAACGAAAATAAAGGATTTTGACAAGATTTAAATATCACTTAATAGACGATAGTGTTTCTAATCGTCCGTTTTAAAAATTCATTGGCGAGTTTGGAGGTTTAAATTGGTAGCAATTATTAATTTTGGCTCGCTAAACTGCGTTAATCAATGAAAAAAATTCTTGCGTATTTATTCTAAAATGAAGGATTTAAGACATGAAAAATTTACTTTTAAGACGATTTCGCTTTGTATACTGTTTTTCTAAAATTTTTTGGCCAATTCAAATGGTTTAACTGCGTTTAACTGTATGAGTTTTTTTTATATATATATTTTCACTGGAGTTGAATTCCACGAGAAAATTTTTCAATTGTGTTAATGTACTTTTTTTTAAATGTTTTAATTGAACAACATTATTAAGGGCTTATAATTTATAATGATTCTATTTGCACAATACATTACGCTGATCTTTGGAGCTTTTCGAAGCGCTAGAATGTGCAAAACTACACCAGGAAAACTCATTCCATCCGTCTTAAATTCTTGCCATTAATTGCCAGTTGAGCAAAAAAAGAAACACGAAAACAAACGGATATTATTGCACATCTGCCGTCTCTCTCTTTCTTTCCTCCTTGTCTGCACGCGCCTCTGCCAGTTCGCGCCTCTCCTCAGCCAATGAGCGCTCGGCCCCAGCAGCCGACCAATCAGCGCTCGGCTCAGTCTTCAGCGACAGCTGACGCGAATTTTCGCAGCGAGTTTTGCTCTCATCGGGAATTCTGCACTTGAGTGGACCAGTTTCGCGTCCGAGGTGAGTGAAACGGGACCTTTTCGGTTCGAGACGCCGTCCCGGACACTCGGCCGACGCCCTCGAGTCGGCGTCAAGCGTCGCTTCGGCGTCGATCGGCCCTGAGACGGGCTTCTTTATTATTCATGTGCTTTGTGGTCTCTGCGGCTGTTTTATTACGCACGACCGTGTTGTCTTCCGACTGATTCAGCCCGAGCAAATATCACTTATCAATCGAGTTACAAGGATAAGCTGTCCGACAGGAAAGGGTTGAACCCAGCAGTGACGGTATTTTATTTAAAAAAAAAATCATAATTTCTCACTCGTGCACTGTAAAAAAAACTGGGTGGGTCCAAGAGTCAGTGTTTGACATTTGAGCGTTGTCAGGCCTCGCTAGACCGCATTTGACACACTTAGCCTGCGTCCTGACGCGTGAAACTTCTCCGAAACAAGTTTTGACCTCGATTTGAATTAATTTGAATTTTATTAAATTTTTTTTATTTTCATCAACTTAATAATTCCGGGTTTGTCCCCCGCGAGTTTGTTGACGTTTTTTATTGCTTGGGGCGGTCGGTCTGAAATTAAACTGCAGGAGGAGGGTCCGGGGGGTGGTTGGGCGTTCTATTTTGGGGCCGGAGCGGCGTTCGGGAGGATCCGACCGTCTCGCTCGCCGAGAGCAGCAATTTAAATTTGTCGAGATTGTGCATCATGTGGTGTTATTTTGCAGAATGAGCAACTGAGTGACCGTCCAGATGCGGCGGCCATGACCTTGTGAGAGCAATCGGAGAACAAAATTAAGGGCCTCTGTGGATAAATGGCTACGAAGGCGCAGGGTAAGTTGATATTAATCAAGATAATTTCAGTTTTAATTCGGAGCCAAATGTTAAAAAAAAAATCTTTAATTTTGATACCGATTTAATTTAGTTCAGCTGGGAATTCAAGTGACTCAGCCGGCACTTCGGAAATTCACGTCACGTGTGTCTGGATCAATTTTATTGTTCTCGAGTCGCGTACCATCTTGGGCCGAACGTGAAAGCCATTGTTTCCGTGCACCTGTTGCCAATTTTTAATTTTCCTTTTGCCGCAACTCGCACGACGAGTATTGATTTCTCGACCATTAGCCGGTTTTGTTAATTTAACAGCTAAAAAAAAATCTTCAGTTTCTCACAACTGGTTGGAAATACGCTTGATTGGCCTTGGAAATCGGATCCGCAGACCCTTATTACATATTATTCGACACCTTACACGCCGCACCTAGGTTGAAATCGAAATATACCCTGAAAAACCGTACCTTCAGGTCTCTACCCTGAGAAATTTTATTCAAAATTATGAATGAAATCATTTTAAAAACATATAGTTAAGAAAAATTTAGAGTCTTGAGTTTTGTCTACCCTGACAGATACAAAAATTACCCTGGCAGGTTTAAAATTTACCCTGAGACGCCTGAAATAAATTTTTGCTTTTTTTCCAAAATTTATCCACTATTAAATGAGTTTATTCTTCCTCAAATTTGAAAGGAATTATGTTATATTTTGTTCCTTGTTATTCAGGTCCAGGTCTAGGACCCTGAGAAAGGTTGCGAGTATTTATGAACAAAATCTCGTTGTGTTTGGTGTCGTTTGATGGGTTTTCGGGGTCGCCGAGTGCAAATCAAGTGTCAAATTGACAATCAAAAGTGGTCCTCGACGTGCTTTCTAAATAATCACAATGGTGCCAGTCACGTCCTTGAATTTTCCGGCCGAGCGCACACCCTCTCGCCGCTCGACTGATCCTCTCGCTTTCAGGGAACAAGATTTGCCTTCCGAAGCCGTCGCTGCCGCCAAAGCCGTCGCCCGAGTTGCTGAAACAGTCGCCCGGCAGACGTTCGCTGCGAGCCTCGATCGTCAGCAAAAATGCCCCCATCAGGTGAATTTGCGCCCCCTCTCCGCTAACACCAACCAACCCCCATCACTAACCCTTAAAAAGTACCCCTGCTAGCATCATCCGGACAAATTCTCTCACATTCATAGTTACATCCAGTGTAAGTAAAAAAGTTCAAGACCAATAATCTCTCAGTAGACGCACTTTAGCTGTTCGTAGTTTAAAGAAAAAATTAATTCCAACCGAAAAGATAAAGTTTAAAGTTGACACATTCTGTCTTTGTCGCAAGAGCTGATAAGACACCCAATTTAAAAAGTATTGTTTATTTTGTAATCGGGCACGCTCGAACCACTTTTCGGTATGCGGAGGCGTGTATAATATGTTGTGCAATCGGTTGGCAATTTTGTTTTTTTTTTCTTGCGCACACACAAACACACAAACACACACAGTCCATCACAAGCATATTGTAAGTTGTTGAAAGCATGTCGGTTTTTGTGTCTCTCGTTTGTCAAGTGTTTCTGCGATAGCGCGCTGAGGACAAAATATTTATTGTGACAAAAAAATTGTACATTTGAAGTAGTTGTTCCCTTCTGAGCGCAGCCATATACATAACAACTTCCCCCAGTAATCCACTAACGCTGTAGCAGAACTGGTAAAGTGCATGTTCGGTGTCAATCTTAGTAATTGATTAATTTATTGATTTATTTATTCAAAATATAGAAATTTCCTGCCTTTTCTGTTAAATTTTTAATAAATAATCATTATTTTAAATTGATTATTGAATTGCGGTACTATTTAAATTACAATTAAAATTTACAGAAATGCTCTAAATTCAATTAATTATTTAAAATTCTAGATAAATTTGATTTTAAATTGCTAAAATATTTTAATTTTAGTCAAATTGCAATTAAAATTTAAAGAAAAATGCTCAAATAATATTTAATTTATTATTAAAAATTCAAAAATATTATGATGTTTAATTGCAAAAATATTTTAATTTGAGTCAAATTGCAATTAAAATTTAAATAATTGCTCCATATTCATTTTATTAATTTATATTCTAGCTAAATTTGATTTAAAATTGCAAAACTATTTAAATGTTTGTCAAATTACACTTAAAATTGAGAAAAATATTTAATTTATTATTAAAATTCAAGATTATTATGATTTAAAATTGAAAAAATAATTCAATTTTAGTCGAAATTGATGATTCCATATAAATTTTTGTTTTTAATTTCAAAACATTTTATTGCGGCAGGAAGTTTTAGCAGCTTATCACGAGTTAATATTATTTCCTGTGCCTTTAATGTAGTGAGCGTTTAACAATCTTTAAGCAACCAGCTGTTTTTTTTTTCTTCCTATAATTTTCACTCTCTTCTTTCAGTCCTGAGCTCGCCCAGCGGGCCCTTCCCCCTCCACCGAAGCCCGTTCTGCCGGTGCGGACGGTGCCCCCGAAGCCGCAGCTGCTGCCCAAGCCACACCTCCCGAAGGACCCGGACTTGGTGTTGTCCAGCAAGAAACAGGCCCCAGTCGCGCGGTTGGACGAGTTCTCGGACAACCCGGTGCGACCCCCTCGCGCCCCAAAGTGCCAAAGACAGCCGGGATCGCCGCCCCCGGTGCGTCCGAAGCCCTTCCTGACGCCTCCGTGCGCCGCCACCAAGCAGAAGAGCGCCAGTCTCGGGAGGGACGTCGACCCTTCGGCGTGGTTCGTGTGGCAAGGCACGCCCATCAGACCGCCGAGGAGAAAGGGTGGGTGTCCGGCGAGGGCGTCGCAACCGCTCGGACGGAGCGTTTCGCTCTTCAGCTCCATCGAGCAGGCGGACAAAAATAACATCCCAATCTACGCCACCGTCAATTACAGTCTGAAGAAGAACCGACGGGTGCAGCAGCAGACCAAAAGCGCCGACTGTCTCGACTCGAAACCGAGGCGATACAATTTGTTCACCAATTCGGAGGAGCTGCTGGACAAGTCCGAGTTGTCGGAACAACCCGAGGAGGAGGAGGAGCGGAGAATCTCGACGGAGAAGAAGAATATCTACGAGGAATTGGAGAGCAATCTGGAGAGCTTCAGCAGGGAGCTGGAGGCGTTGGAGAAAAGCATCTCGGAAAAAAGTGACGAGCAGGTGCTGGTTAGTCAATCAGAGCCGGCTAATCTTATCAGCGGCCAAGATAAAGATTGCATGGGAAACTCGGAGTGCGCCAGTCTGCTCGATTTGTGCGCAAAAAACGTGGACAGGATTGATCTGGAATCGGGAAAGACGGAAGTGAAGGCCGAGTCCAACGAGGATGAGAATTCATCAAAGGTTAGTTTCCTGAATCCCAATTTTAGATTTTTTACATTCTTCTTTTTTCAGCTGGAGGAATTTTTCTCGGCCAACACGTCACATCACAGTAGCTTAAATGACATTATGCCGGATATTTTGGACGAGGAGGGGAAGCAACGGCCCGTCCGCGAGGATGACGAATCATTCGGCAGTGCCGAGAACGTAGTGCCGAGCGACAGCAACTACGTCACCATGTCCGACCACAAAGGGTCGCCGCACCTCAAGCACAAGAGCCTCTCAAAGTCTCTCTTGACCAGGAAAAAGCGGCACAAGCTGAAGAAGGAGCCGGACGGCGAGTTGTCCGCCGGCGTTTTGGGCGACCTCGATTCGGACACGGCGCGCTCCGTGGACGACGTCCAGGGCGACGAGCGCGAGCGGAAAAATTCCTTCTTCAACAATTTCATCCGCGGCAAGCAGAACCGCAAGTCCAAGGACAAGAAGGAGTCGAGCACGTTTTACCTCCGCAAGGGCAAGGAAACGCCCAGCATTGTGATCAACTCGGACTTCGAGACGGAGCCCGAGGAGGAGGAGGAAGAGGAGAACCTCAGCGTCAATTCAACCTACTCAAAGTTGTCGATAGAACCCACCCTGAGCACCAACTCGATTAACTCGACCAACTCGGTGTGCTCCGAGCCGGACACGAACTCGGACCTGAGCGAGGAGCAGAAAAAGGCGTTGAAAGCGTTCAAAACTGCCGAGGAGCTGATGACCTCTGAAAGGACCTACGTGGACTCGTTGAAACTTTTATGCGTTGACTTTCGATCCTACGTCAAAGTGCAATCTGGGAAGGATTCGAAGAATCCCATTATTCATGGTCAGTAAAGTTTTATTTAAAATAAAATAAAAAATTAAAAGCAAAATTCCAATCTAAAGGAAGGCTTAAAAAATTGATTTCGTTTAAGAGTTGCATTTACTCAATATCAAATTTATCTAGAATTTTAAACAATAAATTTACTTTTGAGCATTTCTCTCATTTTAACTTTAATTTAACTAAAATTTTACTTTTTTTGAAATTCAAAATCAAATTTATGTAGAATTTAAATTATAAAATGAACTTAGATCATTTCTCCAAATTTTAATTGTAATTTGACCAAAATTTTAATATTTATCTGATATTTAAAATAATTTATCTAGAATTTTAAACAATAAATTTAATTTTCAGCATTTCTCTCAATTTTAATTTGACTAAAATTTATAAATATTTTTGCAACTTTATATCAAATTTATTTCTAGATTTTGAAATAATAATTTTATTTGAGAGCATTGCTTTTAATTTCAATTGCAATTTGTCTAAAATTTAGAACTTTGCAGTTTATTATCAAATTTATTTAGAAATATTAAATTTGGAAAATTTTTCTATAATTTTATTTGTGATTTGACCAAAATATAAATAATTTTGCAATTTAAAGTCAAATTTATCTAGAATTATTAATAATTAATTGAATTTTGAGCATTTCACTCAATTTTTATTCAAATTTGACTGAAATTTTCAATTTATCAATTTATATTAAATCAAAATATCTAGAATTTTAAACTAAATGGAATTTTGAGCACTTATCTCAATTTCAATTGTAATTTGACTAAAATTTTCACATTTTTGCAGAGAGTGACCTGAACAAGATACTAAACCATTTGCCACAACTGCTGGTCCTGAATGAGGATCTGTTGCGCGACCTCGAGAATCGCATTGTCTGTTGGAACGAGAACGAGAAGATCTCGGACATCATCGTGAAAAAGGGTCCTTTCCTCAAGCTGTACACTTCGTACATGCAGGACTTTGAGGTGCAGGTGCACTTTCTGGACGAGTGTTGCCACAAGAGCGCCGCGTTCGCCAGGGTCGTGCACGAGTTCGAGGCGCTGCCCAGGTGCAACAAGCTGCGCCTCAGCCACTACATGCTCACGCCCGTGCAGAGGTTCACCAAGTACCGACTGCTGCTGCAGCAGTACTTGCACTACCTCGACCAACACTCGCCCGACTACCAGGACACGCAGGTGGCGCTGCAAATTGTCTGCGAGGTCGCCGAACATGCCAACAAAAGCATGAGGGAAGGGGTCAGTATTGACAAAAGGCTTAGAATTTATTTCAAAAATTAATATATTTACTGTATTTTTCAGGACGCCTTGTCTAAAATGTTGAAATTGCAATCGTTGTTAGGCTGTGAACTGATTAAACCGGGCAGGGTCCTCATCCGTCAGGGTGAACTGCAGAAGATCTGTCGAAAGGGCATCCAACCTCGATACTTTATTTTAGTAATAAATTCAGAATTAATTTTTTATTAAAATATACATTTTTGTAAAACAGTTTAGTGACTGCTTGATGTACACTTCGTATCACGGCTCGGCTCTTTTGAACGGGCTCAAAATGAATCTGGAGATTCCTCTGCAAACGGTCCAAGTGCGAGTTTCCTCGACCGAGGACTACAGCAATGAATTCAGTATTATCAGCGTTAAGAGAAGTTTCACTTTAGTCGCTAGGTACATCAAAATTTTGTTTTGAAATTCACAATCTCATTTGAATACGGTTGCAGTTCTGCCAAAGAAAGGGATGCGTGGGTTGAAGACATGAAGGCCGCGGTCAAAGACAAGGTCAGCAAGCAACAGTCATTCCAGCAGGCCAAGCTAATTGCTGATGGACTAAATAGGCCCATGACCACCTTGGGTCACACGGTAAAGAATAAAAAAAATGATTTTCTTAAAATTTGTACCACTTTGGAAATATTAGATTTGGAAAAGAGTTTTTTTTTTATTTAAACTTTCATTTACTTTTAAAATTAATTTTTTTTATCAATAATTAAATGTTAAATAAAATTTAACTTTTTTATTTAATTAAATTATTATTTTTAAATTTAACAGTATAAATTAATTTATTTTTTAATCAATACTCAATTTTATTTTATTATTAAATTTAATTTTTTCATTATTAAATTTAAAATACTAATTTAAGGCTCCTCTTTGGATTCCGGACGACCGTGTGACCACTTGCCAGAATTGTGCTGTTCGTGAGTTCAGTCTCACCCACCGAAGGCATCACTGCCGGGCCTGCGGATACGTTGTGTGCGGAGACTGCTCCACCAACAAGGCCCTGCTCAGGTACATCCAGTACCAGGCAGCCAGGGTCTGTGACAAATGTTACGACATTCTGCAAAAAGGTTGAGATTTTAAATAAATTTTAATATTTTACTAAAAATGAATTTCTAGAGTTTGACGATCCGCTGTTTTCTCTTCCGGCCGATCTTTCCAACGAAGCCATCAACGAGATCATGGAAAACGCTAAAATTTACTACAGGAAAAACTTGCCCAGCGGAAAGAAAACCAAAGCTCCTGTCGTCCCCCAAAGACTTTTAGAAGTAATTTGGAATTGTTTTAATTAATATAATTTAATTTAATTTTAATTTAGGTAACTGCAATGGAGTCCGAGTGCACAATCAAAGGCTGGTTGCAAAGACTGGTGAATCGTTCGTGGAAGAAGATGTGGTTCGTTTTGAAGGACCAGGTGCTCTATGCTTACAAAGCCTCCGAAGATGTCGTCGCCATCGAAACCACACCCGTCCTTGGCTTCTCTGTCGAAACACCTGTAAGTCTTTTGAAGAAATAAAAAGGAATTATTGTTAATCAAAATTTTGCTTCAGGATCACATGGTGGAAGGGGTGCATCCGGAGCTGGTCTTCACCCTTAGTCACAAAACAGCCTCCCATCTGCCTCTGCAGGCGCAGTCAAGTGTTCCGAAAATGGTTTTCCACGCAGAGTTCAAAGATTGTGCAGAGAGGTAGAAATGATTGATAAAGATTTTAGAGGAAAAACGACAATTTTAACTAAACTATTGAAATAAAGTAATTTAGCATAGTTATTTTTCGGATATTTTAAAATATTTGAAATTAAAATAACTAATTCTTAAATATTTAGAATTTCTAAATAATCAAAACTAATTATTTTTTAATTTAAAATCTTTTTAATTTTAAATGTTTAAGAAATATTTTTCTAATTATTTTCTTTTAATAGTTTAATTGAAATTTGACACTTTTCCTCTAGAATTTTTATAAATTTTAATTTTTTGATTTAATATTTATTTGTTTTTAATGAATATTTACTAATGAATTTTTTTCTAATAGGTGGATCGAAGCATTTAAGTCGGCAACTGTGCTGAACTGACGTGATTTAGACAATTGTGAACGCATCCGGTAGAAGATGTTTGTGCTCCTCTGCGTAATCAAAACTGCTTTCCCGCGCCATTTCTTGTTCATTTTTTTACATCGTGCTGATGGTGCCAATTACTAAAGAATCTGACCGTATTTGACGTTTTCCTAGGCAGCTGCATATCAATACAGATTTCATAGTCAACGCCCTCAGCGAAGCAACTCTAGGAGATTACGTTTTATTTGTTTACAATATATAGGCTCAGTGATTGAAGCAATATTTCATAAGTCATGTACAGCACACTTTTCCAGTCGACTGTTTTTTTATTCATTGCACCGCATGTCGCCATGTAACCTCTTTATTGCCATAGGCTTGTTGCAGTTGATTAGAAAAAATTGTATTTCGATCGTTGGTGTCTTAAAATTTAACACGTTTGTTAATTATACTTGCTGTTGAAAAGGAAATTGTTTAGTCAAAAAGCTGGAATTTACTTGAGAAAAGTTAGACTTTGTGATGCGACCAAAGGCATTAAGTGTTTTTGAAAATTGTAATCAGATCATGTCATTTATCGCTTGTAAGGCAAAAACATAAAACAGTGTGATATTCTACTACGATTGATTGAAGTTTTAGATGAATCTAAATTCGAGATGGTGTGTTATTGTGTCACAAAAATACCAGAGCAATATTTATTCGTAGAGATTTCAACTTTTTATTTTTCTCTAATTTACATCACATGTTGATTATGTACATTCGAGAGAACGAAATGGAATCGTTTCTGTCTCAAAACGACAGAATTATCGGAGTCAGGCGGATCCCTAGAAAATATAGTCACTTTACACAAATGATTTTTTTGAGAGAAAATAGAATATTCAGTCCGACTAGTTACTCATGGTCAATGTACAAAAATAGAAGGGTATGGTACACACTCGCCTCGGGAGGGAAGCTCAATTATTTTTTTTTCAACTCAGTCTTTCCCTCGGACAGCCCCTCGTCCGCACTGCACTACTTTCAGAAAGTTCTTTTGATTCTCGTATCCTAATCAGTCGTTGAGGAAGGATTGTTCTGGCCGAGGTCAAACGGCACTCTCGTCGTCCGGCCGGGCGTACAAATTGTAGTGGGCCGAGGTGGGCGAGGCGAGGGGGTGGCCTGGGAAGGCGAGGGGCGCGTAGCCGGCGTGCTGGTGCAGGGCGGCCAGTCGGTCGAGGATGCTCCTCGAGAGCAACTCGTCGCGCCACATGATGTCGCCGTTTTTGGAGTAAATGTCCGAGCCGACCGCCGAGTCGGGGCTCACGTCCTCGGAAGGGCCCCGTGGGTGTCGGGAGCCCCCTGAGGAGGAGGACGAAGAGGGCGACGACTCGTCGGTGAAGTCCGAGTCGGAGGGGTGGTGGCAGTGCGCCCAGCGCGGTTGGGGAATGGGGGGTCGGGGTCCCGGGAGCCCCACTGGGTGCCCCATTCCCCCGTTGCGGGACATGGTCCTGTGAAGAACTTCCTCCATGGGCTGCTCAGGGTCGGCCGAGGTGCGAAACCGGACGAAGCCGTCCTCGGCGAAGAGCATCGAGGAGGGCCGGTCGGTCTGCGGCTCCACTAGGTGGGGCACGGCCATGGTCACGGGAGGGGGAGGAGGGGCGACCAGGGTGCGCAGCTGGTAGGGGTCCTCGTAGAGTTTCTTCTGCACGGCGTAGTTGGCGCCGCAGACGGCAGGGTAGAGGTCCTGCGAGCAGTCCCTCGAGGGGTCCTTGAAGGCCTTTTTGGAGGGCGACGGCACCCTGAGGGCGGCCACGAAGGCCATCAGCAGACTGATGGACACCTCGATGACCCTGACGGAGAAGTGGAAGCCCCACCAGGGCCAGGGTCGGGGCGGTTGTTCGCCGAAGAGGCCAGCGACGCCGAAGACTCCGTAGAGGTGGACGCAGACCAGCAGGAGGAGGAGCATGGCCACGGCCAGCAGGGAGCGCAGGACGAGGCCCAGGGAGGCGGGAGGCACGTGCTGCGTGGTGGAGAACATGGGGTTCAGGGTGGACAGCGACCTGGAGAGCAGCGGGAAGGCGGCCAGGTAGGCCAGGGCGAGGGCCACGGCCCACACCAGGAGCAGCCACTCGTTGATCAGCAAAAGCCGCTTGGCCGTCGGTTGGGCCACGAGGCCGGCGGCCAGCTGGAGGCCAAGACAGGTGACCACCAGGAGGACGGCGCCGGCAGCCGCGGCCACCAGGGCTGGCCTCCTCAGGGACAAAAGCTGCGTCCGCGTGAACCGCGCCACAAATAGGAAGAGCAGGGCGAAGGTGAGGCACAGGAGGGGAAGCGCAAAGTGGAGGAGAATGGGCGCCAGGGACTCAGGGTAGGCGCGGTGCAGGTTGTAGGCGTCGTGCAGGAGGAAGATCGCCCTTCCGACGCCCACCGTCAGCAGGAGGCCGTTGCTCAGGTGCAGGTAGAGGGGGGAAAGGACGCGGCCGCCTCCCCTCCGCAGCCAGGTGATCAGACACACCAGCACCAGGACCAAGAAGAGGCCGCCCATCAGGTAGACGTGGACGTCCCAGGCCACACCCCACACCCTCAGGTCGTAGTCGTCCCCCTGAGTGAGGCGTTCATCCTCAGGTCGCTGGTCAGGGCGAAGGTCGTTGTTGAGGTCGTTGTCCACGTCCGGCACCTCCGACGGTTCCTCCTCTTCCTCCTCAGGTTGATATTCCTCCGGAAGGTCCGTCTCAGGTGGCGGCGGAGGAGGGGTGGTGGTCGAGGTGGTGCTCGTCGTCGGGTGCTCCATGGGGAACATTTTGTTCAGGTCGAGCAGCAACCTGGTGGGGCGGTCGTCAGGTTCCTTCCTGCCGTTGCTGCCGGACAGAATCCTGGTCACGGCCGGGTTCTGCAGAATGGGCACAAAGTTGATTTCGGTCTCGTTGTGGGGGTCCGAGTGCCTCTGGCCACCTGAGTTGGACCCTTCCTTGCCACCTGAACCGCCCCTGGCAGGCGTGTTGAGGGGTTTGTGCTTGAGGGGCAGGTCCGGGGGCCTGATGGGGATGCGCTCCTGCTCCGGCGGGCCTTTGGGCGGCACCGGGGGCGGCCGCTTGTGGCCTCCGTGCGACCCTTCGCTCAGGGAGCCGCGCAGAATGGGCTTGTCCGCGAAAGGGTTGAGGTACTCCGGGGGCAGGGGGTGTTTGAGCCGCCCCCGGGTGACGGGGGCCTCGGTCGAGGAGGTGGGCCTTCGGGGGGCCGGCGTGATGGGCCTCGGAGGCGGCGGGGGCGGCCTCCTGGGGGTGGTGGGAGGCGTCGGGGGCGGCACGGAGGGGGTGGTGCTTCCGTAGGCCGCGCGTTGGAAGACGGCGGCGATGTCCTTCTCCTGGGAGCTGTGGTTCCAGCCGAAGGGCAGGTCGAGGAACGACACGCTCGGCATCACGGCCGAGTTGGGGCTGGTGCTCGGCTCGACGGGGACGGCGGCGGCGCACGCCCACGCGACCAGCAACACGCGCAGCACCATCATGGCGATCACCTCATTCCAGGCAATCTGCAAATTTAAAAATCAGTTAGAAAAAAAGCAAAATTACATATTAATTAAAGAAAATTTTATATAAAACTGTTTGTGATTGTTCTCGTTCACTTCAGGTAAACCGAATAAATAATATTTAATTATTATTTATTTTTTTTCCATTTTAATTTAGCAACTTTTAAACTTATTTTGATTTTTTTTTTGTTATAAAGAAACAGCAAAGTCAGCTTATCAAATTATTTGATTTTAAAATTTATTTTAGAATTTATATCAAACCGAATTTACGTCCAATGCAGAAGTTACAGAATTTCACTAAAAAAATACATTAAAAAATCAACAATTTTGTTAATTTACTGGGTTTAAATTTCTATTTTATTATATATTTAAAAACTTTTTATTTCTAATTTATCTTAAAAATCAGTTCTTTCTTGATGATTTTACATGTTTACAAAACTTCATTAAATTAAATTATGACTTCAAAGCCTAATTTTTATTTGAAATTTATTTTTTTTTCCTTTGCCAACAAATTTATATTAAACTTTATTCAAATGAAAACCAATTAATTAAAATTGTTTTTGAATTGGAATTTTTGTGGCTGCCGAGAAGGTGATAAAACACACCGCATTCGTTATGCCACGACAAAAAAGGCCATAACTCTTTATTCCGATTCAATTAGAAGAACGGAAGTGCCGCCATTAAAAGAGGATTAGACGTGTAAAATTTGCAGTCGACGTCGCCGGCTTAGTAATTTACGGCTTATTGTGTGCATAAAAAATAAAAAGAAGGAGTTTTTCTTCGGCGTGTTATAATAATTTTACGCGCGGCGACTCATTAATGATATAACCCGAAAAAGGAAATTTATGTGACAGTAATTCAATTTTATGCGCAGTTGTAAAAATTCCTTTCACGCCTGCTTTTCAAGCGAGCGAGACTTGAACTGGGACAAAAAATATAAATTCAAAAATTACATACCTGCTGAATTGACGAGTCCGCCGCGGCTCACTCGAAGTCGATCGCGACTCACGATGACGTCATCGCTAATTATCTGAAACAAGCACAATAGGTTTTAGTTTTTTTTTATACTTTTCAAAAGATCTAGACAAATTTTATTATTATTATTTTTTTTCCGAAGACGAGTAGGTGCGGAGAGCGCGGAGGCGCGGAACGTCTCGCACCTGCCTCGCGGGCAATCAGACGCGTCTTTCTCTCTTTTTTATTGGGCTCGGGAGTATTCAAAGGCAGATGGCCAACAATTTTATCAGCGGCTCCTGCATGGTGATTTACTCTGTGTTTTTCGTCCTCATTTGTCCAGGTGGAAAAAAGAGCGCGTTTATTTAAGGCTTTGACACCCTCGAGCGCGCATTAAAAGTCACACCCGAGGGATAAAATTTTAAAATTTATTGACGGGGTGCGCATTAGTTTGTTTCCAGCACGTCCGGTCGTCACCTGGCACGAAAGAAGTGTCAAAAGGTATAAAACTGATAATTATTTGAAATTTAATGCGATTAACAAAACTATTTGGAGAGCAAAAAATTCTTCTCTTTGGCTTTTCAAATTGATCCTTCACGAGACCAACAAATTCATCCAACAGATATTTTAGTAAATTAATATTGTTTTTTTCAAGCAGTTTCCATCAATTCAGTTAATTTCATTTTAAAATAGTTTATTTCTTCAAATTTCAGCGTTTTCAATTCGAAATCAGTTTTAAAATTAATCCATTCTCCAAATCTTCAATTTTAATATTTTGCTTTATAATTTAATTTTATAGCAAGATAAGTCAAATCATGAAGTCTAAATAACTATGATGGTTAAAATTTCCAATTATTTGCCAATATTTACTTAATTTTTTAACTTTGATTGAAGAAACTGGCATGGAATTGAAAAAAACCAACGGCTCTACCAGTTTCGGTCACGATCTGCGAACCTATTTCACGAGCAAGTAAAAAATATAAAAAAAAACAGCAAATTAAATTTTTAGGTTTTTGAATTTTCTGATTTTTGCTTTCTCAGTAAATATTAGGGTCACAGACAGTGACCGAAACTGGTAAAGCCATTTGTTTTTTCTTTTTAATAAAAAACAATTTTTCAATGAGAACAAAACCGATCTCTTCATTTCCAGTCCTTATTTTTTACTTTCTAATTTATCAATTTTTAACTTATTTTGCTTTGTTTCCTTCACATTTTTTCCATTTACAAATTTGAATTTTTTCATATACATGTGGCAAACAAAGAGATTGGTTAAAATTTATTAATTATAAATTTATAATTTTATTTCAATCAAATACTTGACGACTACACAATTTTCAAGTACCAATTTATTTAATAATCTTTTAAAACAATGCAATTTTTTTAATCAAACCAGTTTATGCACTTGAAAGTTTGTTAACCCTCGAGTACACTACTTACATGTAATGCCTATAATTTAATTTTGCAGCATTACAAGAGACGGATTAACGACAATAATTGCGGCGAAACTCATCGATAATGCGCCCGAGCAAGAATTCGGGGCGAACCCTCAATTTGCCAACGGACCAGTTTGCCCAGGCGACTCCTTTTTTCTCTTATTTTTATATTCCCATTTAATCTGGAGCCGTAATCAAAAATCCAAGGCCGCGCTCGGCGCGCGTTGAAAGGAAAATAATTTTATTCTTAACAAGCATCAGCTTCTTTTCTTGTCCGTATACATTCTTCTATATAAATTTTCATTCCCTCTGCACGGATGGGAATTTGATTGTTCTTTCGCGAAGCTCCCAATAAATTTCATGTATAAATTGCGCGACGATACATATGCCGCGCTATAAATTTTTCAGCGCGGGCAGACGGCACCAATAAAAGATCTATTGTTTCGTCCCGAGACACAACCCGCAGCAACATCCTCTCTTGAAAAAGAGAGAGACGCAAAATAACACTATAAAAAAATGGCTGAAACTCGCAAAACATCGAATTGCCATTAGGAAAAGAGCTGCTATTTGAAAAAGTGGTCGCGCAAAACAATTTCAATCCGACTATCTCATGCAAGCCATCAACAATTTCAGGCATGTTAATGGATTTTCTACAAATTTCTTTAGCTATTAATTTTCCAAAAATCTGCCTATAAATCAAACAAGGAATTCAGATATTGAAATTAAACTTCAAAATTCCTAAATAGAAAATAGGTGAAAATGAATTCTGGTTACGTTGAAAATAAAAATTGATTGATTGTAAAAATTTAATTTTATAAATTTAATTAAAATTAATTAATAATTGATACTGTGTGATGTGTGATGCTTGTACTTTTTGAATACTTGTAAGTTTCTGATTTGAAGAGATTTTCAAAAGTATAAATAATAATATTAAATAATAATGATTACAATAACAATAATTTATTGCTTATAAAACGTGGTGTTGCAGGTAAATTACAGCACAATAAGTTGCTCCAAATTTTTTTTTTTTTTTTTAGGGTCAGGCCAAGACAAAGTCTTGTCGGCCTGTGCCCTTTATTGGTGGTACAGAAGGCACCACCCAATTAATTTTTTTTTTTTTTTTTTTTTTTTTGGGTTTTTTGTTTTTGACTGACCAATTTACTGGATAATTATCAGGCTCAAATAAAATTCATTGTAACTTCAGTTTTTTAAGTCTTCTTCAAGATTGAAGAATAGGATTAATTTCTTAAATTTTTATTTTTATTTCTAAAGCTTTCGATAATTCGTTTCCATTCCAATTTCTAAAAATTATAACGTTGCGTTTTCAGGTTTGGTGTTTTGTTCATTAGAGATTTTGCCGGAAAGATTACAATTTTATTGCACCCTATCATTTGCACGTCTCCGCCAACTCATTGTGTAGTTTATTTTGCAGCGAACGAAAAACCGTTTTTCTGACCTGGCTCGTTCCTTCGTAAACTTCACAAACTTATCATTTTTGAGTCTCTCCGCACTTTTAATTGGCCCAACACTTTTGAAACTGGAGATGAACGCACGATCTTTCTTTCTCTCTTCCTCTTTGCGGATGTTTTTAGCCTTAATTAAGAACAAGCGAAATGAGCAAAACCAGAGAAGAGAGGTCAAAACATGTGCATCAAATTAGGATGATTTATGGAACAAGAATCGCTCTGAGCACTGCTAATGATGCAATGAATTTTACGTTTTCGGAGGTTTTTATACCTTTTAAATAAAATTTATTTATTTGCTTTTTCTCTCTCATTTCAGAAGATTTTTCTCTCAGTCTCGGATGAATTCATTAATTTTCCGAGACGAGAGCGGAAAATCGGCCGGCGGTCACATCAAAGCACTTCGAATTCTGTTTGTTTGTTATTTCTTTCAAAAGGCCGCCGCCGACGCGTAATTTGAGTCACCGGAGCATTGCGGATTTTTTCGTTAATTTCTTCTTCCGTCCTCGACGAGACTCAAAATGGCGTCTTTTTAATTGGTCTAATGAGGCTGAACCATAAATTCCGATTGCGGCTCAATAAATATTTGATCCAAGTGAAGCGGACAGGTGGAATTAAATTAATTGGCACCTTTCGGGCTGGACTCTCTCTACAAAGAATGAAATATTATTCGGCTTCCACTTGAGGAAAGGCGACTCTGATTTTATTCTAACCGGCAATTAAAAACATTGCATTGAAATTACACTGTATAAAAAATTTATTCAGATTTTTTAACTATTCAGAGAAAGAGCGATTTAAAAAAATTAAAAATAAAAAACAAGCAAAGAAAAATAATTCAAGATCAATTTTTTGGAAAAATTTCATATGATTTCAAAGTAATTAATTAATTTCAACTAAAAATTCTCTTTATTATGTATTTATTATTCTAATTGGTTTGCAAATTTAAAGAGTAATTTCAATTCTGGTTGATAAAATTATAATTTTATAAAATTTAAAAATGAAAATAAAAACAAAATTTTATAATTAATTAAATTAAAATGATTGTTTTGTATTATCAAATGAAATTTTACTTTTAATTGAATCTTTGGATTCGATTTTTTTATTTAATTCAAATAAAATTAAGTCTAACAAAAAGTAAAAAATAAGTAATTTTAAATTTTCTAGAGATTTCGTTATACAATAAATTTCGGCATTTTTCTTTTGAAATTTCAAAAACGTGCCACCTTCATGGCCGTTGCAATTCAATACGCAAACTTTCCGTTATAGAAACACGGGTCGTCTACATTTTTCGCCCGAAATTGTCCAAATATTGAATCGCACACGTTTGAAATTTCAGCTTGCGTCTCATCAGCTGCGATATCGGTTTTTTTTTGTTTAATTATCTCCTCGTGCAGGACTAGGTGGAGCGAGAGAGACGCGTGTTCAGTTTCAGGTCGACATCGACACCTCGCCCTCGAACGAAAACCTGCTAAGGCTTCCCATGCCAAGATGTGCAGTGACACCCGCCGCCGGCTCGAATTTTCCTTGTCTCTCCGAAATTAAAAACGTGAAAATCGTCAAAAAAGAGAGAGGAATAAGAAGAGACACCGATGAGGGTTGAAGTTTTTTTTATAAAAACGGGTGCGGGCGATTCGTCCCCTAATCAGGTGCACCTGCATGGACGGATCGAATTTGACACCATATTAATATTTTAAAGTGAAAGGTGGTTTTCAAATAAATTAAAAATATTAAAATGTCATGTCAATTAATTTATTATGAATTAAAGAAAAACTGACAGAACAATTTTTACCTATTCTTTTGTTTTTCATTATGTAAATAAAAAAATTACATATTTCCAATTTCTGAAGGATTTTTTCACTGTTTCAACAAATAACTTTTAAGAAAAATTGAAAAGCTAGCAATTTTGTTCAACTTTTGGAATCTTTGGATTGTCGGAAATTGGATTTTGCTTGGAAAACTCAAATTGACCGTGCAGTTGAAAAGCTATGAGGTTTTGAAGTTTAAAAATTTACTGTTTTTCCAATAATTTATAACTTGACATTTTTGGTACTTTCGGGTACTTTAAAATTTAAAACAAACAAAATCCAAACTTTTTCATAATTTTGCATTTTGTCTCACCTTAAATTGCATGGAAACAGTACGAAGGTCAGCAGACGGTGCGGCTCGCAGGGTCTTTTGACCTTTCGGCGGCGCGGTATGCATTCCTCTTTTGGGCCTCTATTGTTTCTCGGGCGGCCATCTTACATTAATTGAGAGCCGCTGCGTGTAAGGTACAAAGGGTCCGTATTAAATTGCGCCTTTCATTGTGCGTTCAGTCTTTAATTTAAAAAATTTTCAGCCGAGCAATAACAAAATTTCAAATTTATTTCCGGCGTGGGAAAGTTTTTTTTTATATTTATTCCGATTGAAAATGTAATTCCATCGACTCTTTTTATTATTTAATTGGATTTTTTTTATTCAGGTAAAGGGTTGGAAATAAATGAATTTCCCACACTTTACTGCTTTTACACTTTTCGGGAGATATTTATTTTCGGTCCGACTGGGGTCTCTTTTTTCCGCGTATCACTAATTTGAAAGGAGAACTTTAATTGATTGGATGATGCGTCAACTTTCTTTGTTGCGGCGTCTGGAAATAATTCCAAAACCGGGCATTCAAATCACCGCATCTGCCGCCGGATATTTCATGCAGTCCAATTGCGATAATTAAAGAAGCAGAAGAAGAAGTACCTTATGTTTAATTAAAATTTTCCCCGTTTTTTTCCTATACACATCCCCCCTCCCTATTACTATAATGGGTATTTCCGAGAAAAAATAAAACGCGTGTGTTCGCAAACATCAGACAATATGTCATGAATTTTTGTTGTATATTTTCATTTATAAATGTGAGGGGGAAGAAGAGAAATGGGAATAATAAAAATATCGCGCGTGACAATCATCTGAAAATCACTTTCGCACGAACGCATCATGAGATGTAAAACAAAGGGAATTTTTCTCATTAAATTCTTCTCCCCAGCAGCATTTGCTATTCATCTGTCGTGCAGAATTCTCATCTCGTCGATATTATGCGTTCCTCTGGCTCCCATTCAAGTACGTCTCTCATGACACATTCAAAGCACGTCGCCTTTTGAAAAGTCCTAAGCTGGGATGCAAGTGGAACCGATTTAATTTTCGTTTTCGTCGGTCTCATTAGAAAAAGTGCGAGTTGCAGCGTCATGCCTGATAAATTACAAGTATAATGAAAATAGATTGCTCTCTCTCGAGCGCGTCTCGCCGTTTCTTCATTACTTCAATTAAACACTGAATTTTTTTCTTTTTTCACACACTGTAAAAATTTGTACCGATTCGTTTCATTGCAGTGAATTTTAAGGTCAAGCTTTTCTACAATTTTATTTTGTCCTCTTGTAATTTTAAATAATTTTATTCCTTTATTTAAAGAACCACTCCGGTCATTTGTATTGCTCTTTATTCTGAAAGATTGCTAAATTTTGAGTATATCTTGTGAAAAAACTATTTGAAATTGGTTTGGAAACCATTGCGTAGCAATCAAAAGAAAACCTAAATTCGAGTGATTCGCGCGAAAAACGTGTGAGAATTGAGTAGCCAATCAGATCCATCAGTTTGTTCCAAAATCTACAGAATTTGGTCACATTAGCGCTGCGATCGCTGATTTTGCCACTAATGCCCCACGGCGCTGCAGATAACTTGGCAAAATCAGCGATCGCAGCGCCAATGTGACCAAATTCTGTAGTTTTTGGACCAAACTGATGGATCTGATTGGCTACTCAATTCTCACACGTTTTTCGCGCGAATCACTCGTACTTAGGTTTTCTTTTGATTGAGACGCAACGGTTTAGAATTTTCAAATAGTTTTTTCACAAGATATACTCAAAATTTAGCAATCTTTCAGAATAGAGAGCAATACATTTGACCGGAGAGGATCTGTAAGTCTTGACAGATTTGGGGTGAAAAATAGTTTATAGACAAAATATCTGCAAAAAAAAATTCTAGAATTATTTTCAAAAGTTAAGTTTTACTTTTCGAAGTTTAAGCAAAATTGAAATCCATGCATACAAAAATTAATAAAGAAATAAATTATCATCAAATTTTTAAAATATTTAATTTCAAGCTGATTTTTTGATGACATTCAGCGTTAAAATTGCTTTTTGCACAGCAGCAGTTTCATCCTCTCTAGAAAATTGGCACGCGATCCGGATCATGTTTTTGTTGTACACACATATTTGCATTCATTTCTCCAATAAATGACTGCTGCACATTGGAGCGGCCGCATCTGTCACCAGGCGTGCGCCGGATTATATTAAAGAGGTGCAGCTGGTCCTTTGTACAGCTTCTTTCCTCCTCGGGCGATAATTACCCGCGGCGGCATCTGCATGGGGCGAGGCAGGCGCGAAAAGCAATTTGTTTCGTCTACTTGACTGCATTAAAGTCACTTTGCGGACGTAAAAAATAAATTAGAGCATGAATAATATTTGCTCTATAAGCAAAAAACGGGATAAGTTCTCAAATTCAACAAAAAGGAAATTAATTAATTTAATTTCAGAAGTTTCTGCAATTTCATTTATATACGTAAACGCGTTTTAAAGTCAAAATGTTTTTTTTTTTAATTTCAATAAGTGTCAATATTAATAATAAATAAATCATGTTTTTAAATCGTTTTAGTAAAAAAAATAATAAGAGTATTTAAATTTAACAAAATCATTTGTAATTTAATTAACTTATGAGGAGCAGACTTAGAAATTACTAAAATAGCATTAAAAAAAAAAAACAATAATTTGAATTAAAAATTATAAATAATCTAAAAATCTAATTTTCTCTACTTCATTTATAAAAATACCAAAAATAAATTTACTAATTCTTATTTTTATTGAATTTGTGACTTCCCCGCAAACTTTACTAACAAATTCATTTAATTTAAGATGTAAAATCCAAATTTTTACCCCTTTTTTCATCTTTCTTCTGCATATTATCAGAGCCGAGCCCTCAACAAAAACAAAAATAATAGCAAGTCTAAATCGAATATTATTTATTATTATATATTTAACTTGTTCCCATTTCCAGCTAACGATTCATATAATGAATGGCAAGCGAGGCCTTATGGGCGTCTCAGGACCTCCCGCGGCTCGTCGTCCCGCTTTCGCAGAAACAACGCCCGGGGCGCCGATTTCGCTCTGCCTCATCGAAAATTATACAAATAAAGAAACCGATCAGAGGAAAGTGGGAAAAGAATGACAGGAAACTGGTCGGCCGCAAGAAATTCAAAGTTTACCCTTCACTTGTGCGGGTATATATATTTTTCTGCGGTTTCATGCACCGTTGCCCTTCTTCTTCTTCTCGTCCACATTGAGATCGAAAATACAAAACTGTGTGAATGATGCTAATGGCGCGTCAAAGGAAGGGTCGCTTTCCCGCTGTGTGTGAAAAATCGGTCTGCGTTTTCACGCGCGCTTGAAATTTAATTTCGGATATATTCATTCTTTCGGGCCGCTGGAGATCATTCATGAAAGAAGAGCTGCGCACTTTGTCATGATAATTCGGCCATTGTGTCTTGCTGGAATTTCGTCACTTTCAAATATGATGATCAGCATCCCTTCCCACAGATCCGTTGATAGAATCCGAAGAATGCGTTTATGAGATTTATCGAAAAGAGTCTGTTTAATTAAAGGGTCTGACAACTTGAAGAAAATGAAGATTTCATAATAATTTCAGATCCTGATAGTTATTTTTGTAATTGTTGGAATGTTTTAAGGAAAGTTAAATTTGGACAAAAATTGATTGAGCAATTAATTTTCGAAGTTTTCCAAAAATAAAAAAATGGCTGCCGTTTGAGTAAATTTGGAAATTGTTAAAAGCATTTTTTTTTTATAAACTAAATAATCTATGAGATGTATGATTAATTTTCAATATTATTTATCCGGTTATTTGTTGCAAATTCACTTTTAAAATGAAAAATCCTTGAAATTGAAACTGATTGTAAAAAATCTCAAATTTTTTTATTCCATCGGGAATTGAAATTATTCATCCTCTCCCTTATACGAGGGTAACTGAAATTTTATTCAATCAATTTTTTTATATAATCCATCTCAAATCTATCGAATCAATTTTCGTATAATTTTCCTATTTTTGTATCAAACTTGATCCGCGCAAAACGCACTCATTCCCCCTCAAAATAACAACATTACGGCCTGTCAAGTTCTAGTATTTCATATGCCATCTGACAAAAGCGCTATTTTCCTCCTCCTGGAGAAGGAAAACTAGTTCCCCTCTTGTTGTTTGCTGGTTTGAACAAACTGCGGTTATAACGAGGCCCGTCTGCCTGATCAGGAGAGAAATTTGGCCGTCAGCTTTTTGAAATCCAATACTCCCGTTTGCCCTATCATTAGAAAAAAAAATAACCACCCCTAGATTAAAAGTATAGTGTTTTTTTCTCGCTGTCATTTCTGCGCTCCAGAGATCGATTTAATTATACATTTTGTGTATATAAAAGAAATTTACGCCGTTCTTCCTTTGCGATTGACTAATTGAACCGGAAGTTCTGATATATATACGGGGGTGGAAAAAAAAACTCAAAACTCACCTCTGCTGCAATTTTACGCTGTCCAGATCAACAGCACTCGTCCATCTGCAAATAAAAAAAATTTATAAAAATTTGAAATAATTAAGGAGCAATAAAAGGTGGACAATTAGTGTTTTCACTGCGGAAAGATAATTTACAATCAAGTATATAAATTCTGGCCCGGTGCCAGCTCGTTTTTTTTTTTATATAATAATGGCTTTTTATTGAGGATAATTTATGTCCCCGCTTGCAGGTGAGCCGCTGCTGCTTCTTCGTCGGGTATTAACGAGCTGAATTATTGTGCCTTAATGAACTTTGAGAAACGACTCTTGGGAAAATAAATAGCGCCCGTACAAGAGAGAAGGTACAATATTCGGCGGACGCTAAATAAATAGTCTGTCTAGTTGGATGACGAGAGAACAGAACTTGAAATTTATGGCCTTGGTGACTGTTCGTGTATATATTCGCAAAAAGTTTGAAGAGTTTTGCTGACTCAAGCAATAAAGATTCGATTTTTTTATTGCATCGTCAGATGGCTATTGATGTGGACGATGATTTCAATTAGTTGGGATATACAACGTCAAGAAAAGAGCAATTACCAAATAAAACTTGACATAAAAAGTTTAAATTGATGGTCAAATGAAGAGAAAAGTTTCTAATTAATGCTTAATTTCATAACATTAATTTTTAAATTTATAATTGCAGACATAAAGAATCAAAATTAATAGATTTTTATTATTAATCTTAATTAAATTTTAAATTTGTGCAAATTCTAAATTTCTGAAAAAAATTGGATTTTTTTTTTAATTCCTGAAAATTTACATAATGAAAAGCTCTTCTATGATTCAGTAATTTTTGTTCCAAAATTAATTGATACTTTTGAAAAGGTTTCTGAAAAGTTCCACTTTTGAGATAATTATTCAACAAGACCTCCACCTTTGTGTTATTTCTTATGAAATTATAAGCAATTTGGGATTAAATTAAAGCGAAAATTTTCAAATAATTCATTGAAGGTTGATTTTTATCAAAAATAACGAATAAAAATTCCACCAAATTCCATATTTATTTAACTTAAAATTTATGCACAAACAGATTGCATCTGTCATAAATTTCGAAGAAATATAATGCAAATGCAAACGTGAAAACAACGGAAACTTGTAATTTACTCCCTCTCCGTTGTTGTTCTTTGTGTTGTTGAATTGTTAAGTATCACATGCCTATTAATGTTCAAAACGAATTTCAGCGCGCCCAGCAGGGGTCGCTCCGAAATTCGCGGGTAATTACGTTTTTCCTCACCGGGCGCCGCTGATGAGAATTGTATTATTAAAATTACAAAAAAAAAAATTAAAACGCTGCACAAAGAGGAGATTTTCCGCAGAGATATCGGCAAACCCTCTCCTTAAAAGCTTGCACAAATTTTATATTGTGTTTTAACGAGAGCGATTTGGCAAAGAAAGCACCAAGTGGCTCTCTCGCAATATAATTTTATTTGGCCGTCGTTGTAAAAGAATAAAAGTTTCAGAATAAGGATCGAGAGATGCTGTTGGTTTATTTTTTTACTGCGGGACGTATAGTTTAATTTTTTATACGAATAAAAGGAGGCTTGTCGGCGCGGCCCTCGCGCAGATTTATTTTCCTTGTTCCATGTGCGAAAATCCGATTTTGCAATTTGTAAACCCGGTGCTAATAAAAAGCGCGGCCCGTTTCTTCCTTTCCGAAAAATAAAAACATTAAAACTTGGGGGCAATAAAAGTTTAGATAAGCCGTTAATCAAGAGATATAAAATAAATATATATATAAAAAGTCGAAAGTTTTAAATTCATTCAAATTTAGAAATAAAATCGTGGATAAGTTTCAAATAAATTAAAATCAGTTTGGATTCATTAATAATATTTCAAGAACTGCTTACATCAAAATTAGGATTTTGTAAAAGATTTGATTTTTTAATTAAATTCCAAAATCCTGAAATGGGTTTTAAATTTAAAAAAAATTCCATTATATTCTTTAAAATTGAGCAATAAATAGAAATTTAATACAAACCAAAAGAGAAAAATTAGGCAAAATTGTTATTATTTAATAAAAAACATACAAAATTTTCACTAATTTGACATTTTTTTTCTTAAATACTAGAAAATAAATTTTCAGGTGGCATTTATTTCTAAAGAAGATCCCAAATAATATTACCTTTCAAATTTTCTGAACGTTTTTTTTTGTACAGACTTTAATTTAATTTCACATCAACTTTGAGCCAAATAAATTTGTACCATTTTAAATACTTAAACTGATTTCGAGGTGTTTTCGAGGCAAAAACAAAACAGGAAACCTTCCTCAATCAACTAACGAACTAAAAGGTGAGCAGACGGCGTCCTTTATTTCCGACCCTGCCCTCGTCGTCGCCAGGTTGAAAAGATCATCTTTTTTTCTAACACACGCCCTCCTTTTTTTCTTTGTGCCCGATCCGGACGAGAAAGAGTGAAAAAAAATTTGTATTCATACATAATAGGAGGCCATTTTTTCCCACTTCTTTTGTTCGCGGGCGAGAGCAGATAATTCATATGTGGAGCCGCCCAATCAAACGGCGGACGTGTTTTAATTAATTATCGCGCTTGGATTTTGGCACAAAGCGTTCGGCAATTAATATCTGTCGGCCGGTGCGGCTCTCGGCGCGAGTAATTAGGCGAACGAGATAAATTAGCATTTTTTCTGCGAAGATGGGCTTGAGAAGGGAATAATATTTAAGAAAAGTATGCAGCGCTCGCGGTTTGCTGGCGAAATCATCAATTTTCATGATATGCACAGGGCAATAATTACCGCGGTTAATTATTGTTCGTCCCACTTAAAATTCCGTGGAAAAATATACGTGCTGGAAAGTTTTGTGCCTCCAAACAAAACCCACAATGAGGAAAAAGAAGATTTTAAGTCAAAATTTGGTTAATTATTATTTTTAATAAGGATAAACAAATAATTAAGAAAAAAGTAATTTGTAATTATAAGTAAAAATACAATTTTAACGAAGGATTATTATTTTTTCCAAATTTATTTTACTGCAAAGTTTCCAGCATTGAAAATAATTGTTAAAAATGAAAATCGTCTTTTTTTAAATGCACTCATTAAATTATAATAATTTAAATGATAATTTATGATTATTTAATTTTACTGCTGGCAATAGAAACTTTATATTTTCTATGTTCATACGTCTGGTGAATCTCAAATTTAATTATTTGATAATTCATTTGCTTATGAAAAAAAGGTTGTAAAATTTGATTTTTTTTTTACATTTGAATTTCATTCTACGTTTTTGCATTTGCAAATCATAATTATTCGTCTACTCATTTGTCCTGCTGCGCGAAAATTACTGCTGTCAAGCGCGTACATAATCGCAGAGAATGAAAATTGCCCGTGCAAAAAGGAAGTTGGAATAAAGAATAAGAACGCGCGCGGTACAAATTCTTCGGCACCTCTCTCGCGGTTATTACGAGGAGACGAGACTATGATTAAGGTCCTTGTCGGGCGGGAACCGCCTCCTCAATGACAGAAAAATATACACCTCCTGAGAGATAGAAAGAAAGAAAAGACAGCCCCGAGAGAAATAACAATAAAAATAGGCACGTTCTCATAAGGGACCCTGCCGAGCTCAAAACGGCTCAAAGGGTGCGGGTGGTTATTTTTTTTATTCATTCCACGATTTAATGATGGATTATTATTATTATATCCCGATACGAGCCAGGGCCAGTTTGTTTTGTTCTCACGCGCGAGATGACCGCGTGCGCGCTCTCGATCGTCGCGACCGCCTCTTAATTGGATGAGAAATCTACTCCTTGCCGGGCAGAGAGATGATTATTGTTTCTAGAGCGTGGTTCATATTAATAGTCTTTTGAATTTCGTATACAGATTGATCCCGGTGCAATGTAGATGAGGTCAGGATAAATAAATCGCCCCCTTTTTTTGTTTACTCAATCACGACAAACGTGTTCTGTATTCTCCGAATTTGACGGCCAAGGTCGAAATGCTTCAGTGATTCTAGTTCATTTTGGCCTCAAATTGGAAGAAAAGGAACAAAAAATTTGGTATTCTTATCAAAATCTCATTTAAAGTTAATTTTCTCCTTACAAATTAGCTTTTTATTAAATTAAAGAAAAATCATCACAGTTGATGACAGAAAAAGTTGACTTTCCCGCCGTAAATTCAAATTCCAAGGTAGTTGTGTCGATTTAACACTCAACAATGTTCAAGTATGTTTCATTAAATTTAGTTGATGAACAATTGAAAGGATTAATTAAAAAAAAATTCAATAAATTCAAAACTAAAAAATTGATTTATGATGGTTTCTTCAATTTAGAAATCTGAAAACGGAGATTAATCTGTAAATACGGTTGGTACACCTGTAATCAATGCAACACTGGGAATCTGAGGTCACAGGGAATTGATTTGTGACCATAAACTTTTGGGTCACAGCAGAAGTTTTTGAGAAAAGGTCGATTAAAGATCTAAAACCTTTGATTGGCTGAAAAAGTCACTTTCCTATTGGCTGAATTCGGATATTTGAAAGGTTTGCAGGTTGGCCAACTGTCTAATTAAAAACGTTTGCAGGTTGGCCACCTGTGACAAAAGAGAATAAAATCACAATTTTCAATTCAAATAATTGGAATTAAACAAAAGTAAAAAAAGAGTATGATAATTTAATATTAATTTAAAAAGTAATTTTACTTATTTTTCTCACCACTCGATTTTCAACCTGACGCCTTGCAAGCACCTTTCGTGGAATAAATAATAATTGTCAAACGAGATGTTAGATAAAAATCGCGGCTCTGCCTCTGGCTGCGCGCCGAGAGATGAAACAAAAACAATTTGCGGCGGTTGTTGCGCGGCATTGTATTTAAAAAAGGGCGCGACACGTTGGTAGGTCGGTCGGACTTCTTCTCGAGATGAGGACGACAATGACGCCATTGTTGCCGCGCTCATTATTTACATCGTGAACAAAAAAGAAAGATTCAGAAATGAGCAGAAGAAGAAGTGTTATTGTGATATATTAACTCCGAAGAGAAACGCGCAGCCCGGGCCATTGTGTTTGCTGCGGAGATGAGATTTATTTTTCAAGTGTCACCGCCGCGCATCTCTTTAAAATATGTATTCGTATTTATATCTACATATAAAATAAACGTTGATGATAATAAGCTGGTTTGGGCAGGTATACGAATGAATATATACAGCAGGGGCGCTGCCTATTCTTTTTCTCCGAACCATTTTTCAAGCGGGCCCGGCCGTAATGAGTCACAAAATGACACGAGAGCAGGACACCTTTTTTTCTTTTGTTGCGCCCAAAGTGCGATTATTTGTGTTGAAGGGACGAGCAGCCAATTTGCGTGGAACAATCAACGCAGAAATTAGATTTGCACAACTTAACAAAATTATTATGTAGAAAAAAAATTAACATTCCTTTTTTGGCCAAATTTTTTTCTTATTAACTGGAATGAATTAAAAAACTTAAAAAGAGGTAATTAAATTGTTGAAAAAACCTCAATCTGAGCTCAAATCTTTCTTGTTAGTCGCCAAAGTTTCCCTAGTTTTTAATTTTTAATTCTTTTGTGCTTCGTATATAAAATAATGATCTCATCCTTGACGAAAATGAGAGATTTTAATTAAAATTTTAATCAGCCGTCGCTTTTTTTTCAGAGCTCAATTACGGCTCTGGCTCAATTCGAGATCCGCTATCAGTCTTTGTCATGAAGCATTTTGCACCTGAAGACAATTTCGTATATAATTTTCTCATGCGCCGACGAAAATGAAGACGTTTTTGACTCGAAAAAAAGTGCCAAATCCGTCTGCAAAAATTTAACGCACGGTAATAATAATTATATTTGCCGAGTGGGGCAAAAAAAAAGGACTTTTTCCTTCGTAACGCTGCAAGAAAGAGAGTCTCCAATCAGATAAGCCTTTATATTGGAGGAGATTGTTAGTTGTTTTGTTGCTGGAAAGATTTGTACATAATATAAAAGTAATAATTACTCTCGTCGGGCTCGCTGCTGCGGCCAAAAAGCGCGAGATAATGACGTTCATTATTATATATCGGAGAGAAAAAGCAGCTCCTCTCTGCTCGTTGTTATTATATATTTTTTCTCTCTCTCTTTAATTTTGGTGCACATAAAATATTATACACATTAAACAAAATCGCCTCTCTCTATCAGGTTTTCTGCCGGAAAATTACATAAGTTGAAGGGAAAATGTTTTTATATATATTTTTAATCTCCCCGCCAGCTGGATAAACGTTTTGAGCCGACCAAAGTGTGGAGCCGAGAGGAAATTATTTTAATTACCCATCAACGCGGCGCGAGGAACAGTTAGATTGGCCAGTGAGTTTTACGGCCAAAAAGCAGCAGAGTGACCTTTAAATTGAGAAATTTGGAATTTCTCTTTGATCGCACCCTCGAATTCCGATTTAGGAATATAACTGGCCAGTGGCAAAGGTCGTCGATGTAAAACGCGCCGTGAGAGAGATGAAAAAAAGTAAGCCGCTGAATTTAGGAGAGGTCAAAACTCTAGAAACTCCACAATTTTGATACTCAAACTAAAATAAAATTAGATCGAATGAAATTTTGTTCTTAAATTATTTAAAAAAATTATAATTTTTACTGATTTTCTTTGATTTTGGTCAATTTAAGAGGAAAGATTTATAATTTTGAAGAAAATTTTGATGCTCACTGCGGTGGATGGAGTCTTTTTCATATAATTATCTTAGAAGATTTAGCAAAATTTTTGCTAGTGGTGAAGCCATTTTGTCCAACAATTCCTTTCTTTTCAAATAAATTGTTGTCAACAATTGAATTTTATTATAGTCATGTAACAATTTCGACAAATAAACAGCAATAATAATTATAATACATTTACCGAACCATTATTTCTGAACCAAATTTGAGCTCTTTGTCATTGTTTAGCTCAAAAATTAAATTGAAAAGGGCAGTATTTGTTCTAATTTTCAAAATTTGTAGAATCTTCTGAATCAAACTCAGTTCTAAAAATGAAAATTGACCGTTTACTTACAGAGTTATGGGATTTTGAAGGTTTGAAAACGTGATTTTCTTTTCTACTTTGATGGAATTGGGCCGACCTAGTTTCAAATTTGTTTTGTTGATAGAGAATAATTTATTTATTATTTTATATTGCAAGAAAAAAATGTTTGGAAGGGAATTTTGAAATTTTGAACAAAAATTGCAATGATATCGCTTTCCAGATCATTTAATTTATTTATTTTGGTTCTTGTCACTTTTAAAATAACAAGTTTTTAGAGTAAAAACTCCAGTAAAAGTGTTTCGCTCATCAACAAACAAACGTCTGTTCCAAATTAGGAAGGAAATCGGCAATAAATTTTATTGAACTCCTAAAATTTTTCCTGTTGGCCAATTTCGGCAATTTTTCTCTCTCTTTTCACGCAGAGTAATACGTTATGTGTATTATTATATTATATTCGAACAACACGGCGGGTTTTGTTCCAATCAAGGTTGTGGGGAATAAAGGAGGTGCGCAATAGCAATCCTTTTCCTATGGAGAATATTATCATGTGCGGCGCTCTTTTTATAAAATGTTGCCAGCAAGGCACACAGCAACTTTTATAGAGGAGGAATAGCTCGGCATGTATATATTTTTCATTTGTGCTGAGCTGGCAAACCGGCCGCGAGTGTACAAAATAAGGATTCCTCTCTCAAGGTTAAAGAATAAAACATCTCATGTAACGCGGCGGCGGCGGCGGCTGCAGAGAAGAAAAGAAGAGTTGCAGGAAAACGCGCGGCGCGTTACGTTGCTCCAGTGCAGAATATCCTCGGGTTTCGATCGCGAAATTTATGGAGGCCGCTCTGGTGTGACCTGACATTGCTGCACCGAGTGATATTGATATATCTCGGTGAAATATACGCGCATAGCCTTTCAATAGTTTCAATTATCAAAAACCGCCGATCGCTTTGTGGTTGAAAATGAAACTCTCAAGATTATGAATGGATTCTATTTTAAATATATTCAAGAATTGGAAATTTAGAAAAAAAGCGAATATTTCAAGGACTTTTTGTTATTTTTGTTTTTTAATTGTCAAAATGCATCATATTGTTTGAAAATAATTAATTTGAAGAGAAAAAACAGCAAGAATTTTGCTAAAACTTCCGAGATAAAAAACACTCCATTCGATAGAATTTATTTAAAAAATTTATATTTAAATATAATTATAAATTTAAGTTTCAATTTTCCGTATGATTTGAAATATTAAAAACTTACTTTCTGCATTCTGCACCAAATTAATACATATTTAACCAAATTTTATTAAAAAATTGTATTCTTATATAAAAACAATTTTCATAATTTGAGAATTTCAGTCAATTTTTTATTTTTAAAATTAAATGCTGTAGATCTGCTTTTATTTGTTTTCGAAATCGGTGGCCATTATTTCCACAAAATAGGCGCGTCTATTTAGCAGAGAGCAAAATGGACGCCGCGTCTTTTAATTTATTCTGATTGCACTGAATTAAGCCCTTATTTCCGTTGGTGCGCTTCCTTCACGGCTTCCGCCCTCTCGTTTTTTAATCGCGCCTCATCCCCCACCTTTTGTTATGCATACAACTGATTAACAACTTCACTACACTCGTTTTCTTGCACGCACCTCGTTTTCCAACAATTCAAACTCTGTCGAGCGAGACGCCGACAAATTTAAAGTAATTTATATAAAATTTCAAAAATTAATAATTGGATAAAATTAATTTAGAAAAATATTGAAAAGGTTCAAGTTTAATTCTAAATTTCAGCTTTAATTTGTAAGTTAATTTGAAATTATAAGTGTCCAAATTGACAAAAATCTCTAAATATTTGTTCTTGATTTTGATTTATTTTGTTTGGTCTTATTCAATAATTTTGATTACATCCTTAATTGAAAGAATTATTTATATTTTCAAAATTTTCGCGCGAAAAACGTGAGAATTGAGTTGCCAATCAGATCCATCAGTTTTGATCAAAAACTGCAGGATTCGGTCACATTGGCGCTGCGATCGCTGATTTTGCCAAGTTTTCTGCAGCGCCAATGTGACCAAATTCTGTAGTTTTTGGAACAAACTGATGGATCTGATTGGCTACTCAATTCTCACACGTTTTTCGCGCGAATCACTCGTATTTAGGTTTTCTTTTGATTGAGACGCAACGGTTTGGGATTATCAATTAGTGTTTTCACAAGATATACTCAAAATTTAGCAATCTTTCAGAATAGAGAGCAATACAAAGGACCGGAGAGGATCTTGAAAATTTTATTTCAGTGAATTAAAATAAAACGGTAACTTTTAAACCGTCCAACCATTTTTTTTTTCAAATTTATGAAAAATTTCTGTATTTTTTTTTTCAAATTTTTATTTTAAAAGTTTCTTTACCTGTTCCGATGGTGAAATTCCAGCTGCTCTGTGCCGGCCTAGAGAATTTCTGTGAACAAAATAAGGCACACACATGAGTCGTTTTGTATATACAGAAAAAAAAATGTTTATTCTCGCAGGGAGCGCGTTTTTTGGGACAAGTTCTGTCCAAACACATCTAGCCAAAGGAAAACACAGAGCAGCTCGTCAGCTGCCTCCGCAAAGGCAAACAAACGCTGCGCGGCGTTTGCTCTCCAGAAATAATAAATATCATAAAAGTCGAAAACTTTACGAGCAGTCAAAAGAATTAAAAGCGTGCGGTTTGAACACATTAAACATCGCTCGGGTGTCGACAGCTCTTGTTTTTGGCCAGAATAATTTTCCCGCCGCGAATTTGTGCATAAATTTTATTCAAAAGCCTAGGAATGAATTGGTCGTGTTGAGCGAGTGATAATGACCTGTGTATAGAAAAGAGCGCCCGCGGCGTCTCCGCGGAGAGTAGAAAAAAAACTCGTTTATCAGAGCACACACTGACAAAAAAATTTATGAAGTAAAAGAGAGACGGCGTGAAATAAAACATGAAATATGAATTCGGACAAAGGAGAAAATTATACGCGCGGCAAAAAACGCGAGAGGGCCGCAAATGATGATGAGGTAATGAGCGCATGTGGTTTTTATTTTTTATTTTTCATTCTCTATAAAGTCTCGGGCACCGAGCAAATCAGAAAACTCGCATGAGTTCGTGTGTGTTCTCATCACAAGTGCAAACAATATCAATTATAACAAACCTATACAATAAAAAATTACTCCACAATGAAGATGCAAAGTTTATAAATAAATTTTTTCCAGCAAATTCATGCAAAAAAAAATCTAAAAATTTGAATTTTTTCCCAGCATTTTAATTGAGGATTAAAATAATTCCAAATGTAGCCAAATTCTGGCACTTTTTATGTATCTTTCAGAAGATTCATAATAAAGTGAAATGTATAAAAAAAAATTTATTTTAATAAAGAACCAATGCTCGGAAAACAAATTTAACTGTCCAAATTACAATTTTTAATTCGAATTTTATTTAAAACTGACAAGGATTTCTGTTTCCAAGAAATTAATTTTACCATTTAAAACTTAAAACTTAATAATCAAGACAACATGATGTAGAGTGTGTTGACTTTTGTATTGATTTTTAAGTTTTAAACGGGAAATTTAATTTTTTTGGAAACATTAATGTTAAATTTGTTTGGAAAAAAATTATAAGATTTCTAATTTCAAGTTGAAATTTGGACATTTTTAATTCATTTTCAGAGCATTTTGGTTTTCTCGATCAGTTTCTGAATCAACGTAGAATTTCTTTAGAAAAATACATTATTATTTCCAACAAAATATATACTTAATTTACGAAAACAATATATTTAGAAAATTTTAATAATTAGAAGTAAGATATCTTTTTTCTAAATTGACTGTTTAAGGTTTGAAGTCTGCAACGTGGGACAAAGAAGTGAGCAACTTCATTACCTGATTTAAAAGAGAGAGAAAATAAATAAAAAAATAAATTACCTCTAAATAAATTAGAACCTATTATGATTGAAAATTGCCAATTTGAAAAAATTTCATGGAAGAATTTAATTCGAGGGTATTTAAATTTCATTTCATTTTTATTTTAGTTTCATGATTAATTAAATCTGTATTCAAAATTCGGAAATTGTAAAAGAAATTAATGGTGCAAAAATAATAAGAAAATGTGTCGATTATTTTTACATTTACAATAAATTTTTAAATTTCAGAACTTTATATCATAGAAAATATTAAATATAACAGCATTTTAAGCATTGAATTGTCCTTTGGACTTTCCGACTTTTTGTTCCAACTCGATCGAGGACAGTGAACTTGCATGTGTTTGTGGACGCGGTGTCGGGCGCGGCGTGATTAATCCAACACACGGTGCGCGCAGCGAGATGAATGTAACTCGTTTCCATTTGATGCATCGCAGGTGCGATTCTTTAATTGTTAATTGGGAGCATTATTTTAACACGGCAGAGAGAGAGAGACACGAAGACGAGATTCGTTTGCGAAGATTAATTCCGAGAAGCTAATTTAATTAATTCGGACTGACGCGGCGGCACACACGAAAAATTATATAGAGGGGGGACACGACTTCATTACCTATTAATTCATTAAATCCGCTAATTCACTCTCATCAAACGGGATCTATATATATAATTTTATTAAAAAAAAAGTTCAATTTTTTTTAGTTTTGAGAATTTTCAGAGATCGAAATTCAATTAAAGCGTCGTGGGAATGCATAAAAAAAGTTTCGTTCCTTTTTCGACCTGAGGTGTGTGGGAATGACCATAAGGTTGAAGACCATAAAGGGACGAATTAGTAACACCAGTCAGAAAAACGCATCAATTATTTGGCGACAGAGAAGAGCGGACAAAATCAAAGCCCTCGGAATTCCACGCTTTTTATTATTTGTCTCGCTCGAGAGACAAAAGCGACTTCCGCTGTCTGACGAATTTTTTTTACTGGAATTAAAACTATATTCAGGAAAATAAAAAGTTCCACAGTTCAGAAACTGCTTTATTGAAAAATAAAAAATTCAGATAAATTCCCAGAAAATTATAAAAATTAGAATAACTTGATCAATTTTTGTATCAATATTTTCTAGAATAACTTTTTATTACCGTTTATTTGTCCAAATTTTCAAATCACATTGTTTACATTCAATTGTTTAATTAATTAAATTAAATTAATAGAAAAAAAGAACCGCTAGCAAGAATTTTGCTAAACCTTCAAAGATAAAAAAAGACCCCGTCCGCCAAAGTGGGCCTCTGATGACTCGGTTATTTTTCTTATCACTTTTTACTGAATCAAAATAAGATTCTACTTATATATTTGGAATATTTCCTGACCCTTTTTGTATAGAAATATAAAAATTTTGATGATTTTCTGGTCAAAGTGCCGAACCTTCATTTGAAAGTAATTTACAGTCGTCTTTATAGAATTTTTATTGCGTCATTTTTAAATGCGCCGCCGTAAATAATTTCTCTCCCCTGAAAATTATTCCATTCGGCGCAGATAAAAATCTCCGGCAGCACAATAAAAAAGCACACGCAGGAATTCTGGAACAATAAAAATGACACTTTCCTCCGCAGCCGCGCGAGCCTCCTTTATGTTTTTTGAATTTTTCTTCTCTCTCGGCTCACTGTGCGGTCGGTACATAAAATTTATCCCCCTTTGATAATTTTTTTTTCCACGGGAAATTAATTTCTCCGATAAAAATGTACATATACGACTTTTTTTACGGAAAGAAAAGAAGTCCCAGCAGGTGCCGGCAATTTTTTTTTTGTATGATTGACAAATGACCCTTGAGTTTTTCAAGTTCTCTGCTTCCCCCTGTTTTCGCTCACAAGTTGACGTGTTTTTCGTGCTCAAGTTGTGGGTTTTTTCACAGCACATAAAACTATTAGGTGCAGAAATTGACAATTGCACGCTGGTGGGAATAACAGGGACAATCCGACCGTTTTAATAATTTTATTTTGGCGATTAAAATCTTCTCCGCACGCAAAGACACTGCAATTTTCTCGGAATTTCTACGAACTCTTCTTTTTGCCAGAGATCGACACCAAATAATTTAATTTTTCTCGACAAGATGAAAAATAATTCGCTGCCGAGGTAATTAGCGAGGAAAAGCTAATTTCGGAGATGCGACCCGACAGATAAAAACAACTAATTTCGTTTTACTCTCTCGGGAGGCGGATCGAGCGGTGGATTTTCGAAAAGCCTCACCGCCATTTTTCACGGCGAGATATAATAAAATATGATTTTCTTCAAGGCCTGTAATTATAGGCCGGGGTAGAAAAAGGATCATAATACACGCTGGCCGGGGCGGAGTAGGAAAGGAAATTAATAGATTCCCTTCCAAAGTGACTCACCGAGCGGAATTTTCGCTCTTTTTCCCTCAGAATTAATCCCTGCTCTGATGTGAAGGGTGAAGAGGGAGGAATATTATTTCGGAATATGAGTGCGCGGGAGGGGTGTCAAAATTATTATTGCTGCCGATAAATGAGTGTGGGCTTTATTGCCTGCGAAAGACCCTCAGCTATATTAATTTCTGATATACTTTCTTCCTTCATATAACATTTTACCAGGGGCGTGACGCCGGAAAGCCACAAAATTGTATTAATTCGGTGGCCAGACCAATATCGTTCTCAAATATTTGCAGACTTTGACCACTAAAGCAGGAAAAGAAATGAAAACGTTTGCAATTTTATTTCATCTTTGATAGAAAAATTAATCAATATAAATATAATTCATTAAAAAAAAAATCAATGTTTATTACTTTTTAACAAATTTCTGTCATTTTTTTAATTGATTTGTAGTAAAAATCATTGATTTTAATTAAGTTTTTTATTGGATAAATAATTTATTGATAAGAGACTTGAAAAATTAGATCAATTAGCTAATTTTTTAAAACTGACAGATACACAAAAGTAAATTTTTTAATTAATAATTACTGTTTCACACTTTACAACAACAAATTGTGACGAAAAAGTTTTATATTTATTTCCAGTTTTATAGTAAAACAGTTAAAATTGTAGAAACAATCTCATTGATTTTATTTGAAAAATTTAAAAAATAATTAAATAAAAGACTTCAAGATCTTTTAAAATTTCCTTTTTAGCTGCAAATTTTTTTTTTGAGAAGTGATGAAATGTAAAGTATTTTGCTGGTTATTCTTCTTAGAAAATTACAAGAAAATTAATCTTTTCATTATATTTATATATATATTTTCTTCTTTAATGTTATATTCATTTTTGATACGTTTCTCTTCACAATTTGGAATTTACACCACATCTCATTAAAAGTTATTCACAGAAAACGTGCCCGTCTGGATTGAATACCCTGAATTAGGGTCGACGATTTTGTCCCGAGTGATGTAGCAAAATTGAATGTTTGGCTGTTCAGCCAGAGTCAACGTTGCCATTTGACAAAATACGTACCCTGGGAAATTTATTATCGACCTGCTTCCAAATAAAGGTTTGTACTCTGAGGAGAAGAAAACAGAATTGT